AGAAGATAAGCTCCACCTCCTCTAATAGAAGTGGACAATAATGAAGAGTTTGAAGGAGAAGAAGTTTTAGATTCAAGACGACACCAAAATAAATTGAAATATCTTGTTGATTGGTGTAGATATGACATTAGTGAACACACATTAGAGCCAATAAAGAATCTTGCAAATATAGCCAAGGTGGTGGAGATTTTTCATTGATGACATCCATCTGAATCAAGATAAAGAATAATAAGTCTTTGCTATAAAAGAAAAAAGGTCCAGGGAAGATTGCATTCTATCTTCTATCTTTTTTTATAGCTTTTTTGTATTTGTAACACTGAGGAGATGGAGAACTAACAACCAACAGATTCAACTCAAGAACTTTCATTTGCAAACTTATTAGATGAGACATTATGATTGTCACAACCTTCAAGACAACAAAATCAAGATGAAGATCCTTAAGAATAACATATCCTTCTTTGAATAGATGGCAAGATACATTGTATTTGATATCACAACCTTGGAAGAGACTCTTGATGTTTGGTGATTTTATTAGAGGTAGGAACAATTCTTGACAGTATTCCAAATATTTTATTTGAAAGAAGTTACGAAGACCTCAACAATGACTAAATAACATAGTGGTCTTCTTGCCTTGGTATGGAACACTATCGATGGCTGAGAGGACCTATCAACTATCTTCAAAGAAAATAAATATCAAAATTTGTAGCAAATATAATTTGCCACATCTTGGATTTCCTCAACATATAAAGATTGCTCTTTGTTGAACTCGTCTCTAAAAGGGTAGATAATGTCACAGACATACACATTTAAATCAATAATTATTTATATGATTTAAATAATAGTACATAAAAGTATGAAAATTCTATAATATCTTTTATAGAAGCTTTCTAGAAGCTTCATAGACGTTGCTTTGACTTTATAGGTGTCTTTAATTAACTTTTTAGGTTAAAAACATGGTCAAAAAATTGGCCATATACTACTTATATTGGTAGCTTGAAGAACAAACTAACTATGTGGCCTACATATAGAAACCTTGCATTGTAAGCTAAGCCATGTGTCCTACAAAGTCAATACATATTAGAGGTCCTATAAAACATCGCCACGTAGCTCTTAGTTAGATAGTATATATAGAGGCAAGAGTGAAGCCTTCTTTACTCTTATCAATTCCTTTCTTACTTCTAGTCTAGATTTAAGAGTATCCAGTTTCTTTGTCATTTACGAATAACCATTCCAGTTTTTTTTTAATATACATACTACCTTATTTTTATTTTGTTATTTTTCTTTTAAAATAGATTTTTCAAGTTTATGCATCTTCTTCCAATTCATGTCTTTGACATTCACTAAACAACTTATCATTGTCATCGAGGAAAATCACATTTCAACTAAGAATCATCTTCTTTTCTTCATTTAAGAAAATTTCATATTTTCTTGCTATATCTAAATATTTTAAAAAAAATATATGTCTTTGCCTTCCTCTCATAATTTTGATTCTTCTCTTTTGGTTTGTGATATCAAGCATGATAACCAATAGAATAGAAATATTGAAGAAAAGATTTTCCACTATAAGAAACTTTATGTGGTAACTTACGACCAAGTCTTGCAAGTAGAATGCAATTGTAAGTCTAATTCACAAACTTAATAGCAAAAAACTAATACCAATAATGTAACTTGGAATTATTTTGAAGTATTTATACTCCTTCAAAGATTTTCTATATCATATGCTTTGTTATGCCAAAAATCTCATCTATATATATATATATATATATATATATATATATGCAAATTTAAGCATGTGTCAAATGCCTTCAATCTTAAAGTATGAATTAAGTTTGTAATTTAAGAACTCAATATCTTGATCAATATATATATATATATATATTCTTTTCTTCTAATTCTCATTTACGCCTTTACTTCTCAAGTTTTGTAAACAATATGCATCTGGTCCTTAATCTAAAGAAATGCAAGGCTACAATAACTTATATATTTGTCAATCAACACAACTAATCATTTGGCACCACCAAAAGTAGTTATATCAAAATAAACAAGGTTAGATACTACTACATCTAAAGTATCATTGGCATGCTTATACTTACATAGAAAAGGATATATATAGGCCTTACTAATAATACACAATTTACATATGGATACTTTATCCTTTTTATCATTGACCTTTGATCTTTTGACACTATTAATTTGATCCGCCTCTTGTATTGTATTTATCAAAGCATATTTTAATGCTTAATGCTATTCAATGAACATAAAATCTAAAATAGATAAATTAACAATTACATGAACTTCTTTAATTTCATAAGGTATTAAGTAAGCTTTATTGTTGAATGTGTCTTATATGAATAAGCTATCTAAAGAAAGAATCTAATTAACTCAATTTTCATCTAGGCTAAAATTACAACCTTTTTTACATAAGGTTACAACTGATAAGGATGTATCATATTCTTAAAAGATCCAATGCATGTCCTTCATAATCACAAGTATGTTCTTTTTCTTACAATTCAAAGATGTGGGATATATCTTACTTAAATCTTGTGATTTGATGATGCCACTATTATAGCTTTGGAGTTAGATGGTTTCATTTTTATTGAAGTTGAGAAGCTTACTTATGTTCATTTTGATGTATATATCCAATGCACAATTAATGCAAATATAATAGTGTAATTGAAACAATGATGTAATTGTTACATATACCTCACATGATATCTCTTAGATTGAGAGAACAACACCAACACTAGCACTTGATGTACTATTGATATTTGTACTATGAAAATTTATATTATCTTGTCAATATCCCTTCTATCCATAAGCTGTATAATTGCTTCTAAACTTATTAATTTTAGGCTTCTGCTTCTATTATAGATGGTATTTCTTTAAGAATTGTGATTCTTTAAGTGATTTCCTTGTACATACAAAATTAAAGCAAAAAATCAAGATTTTTTTTTTTTTTCTCAATATTTCTTCCTTAAGAAATATATATCATACAACTTCTTCTAAAATCTTCTTTTTTTATTTTAATGCTAGCAATTAAACAAGCAAATCTTATAACTTTGGCAATGAAGTAAGTATTAAAAAAAGCCATACTTTGTTTGCATATTTTTCTATCAAATTTAATATATTAATTTCCAAGATTAAAGATTTTACATTAAAAACTCTATATAGGTTTTCCATCAACATACTAAAAATTATGAAGTTTCTTCATCAAGAAGATCTCAATAATAATCTCTAATGGCTTGTGGATCCTAACAAGAACATTCCTCTTTTTCTTTGCTAACTTACATTTGCATACATATCTCAATTACAAAGGCCTGATATTGAAGGCAATCAATGCTTGTATTTTTATCTTACTTGACTCGTATTTCAATTTCTTATCTATATTTATAAAACATTACAATATCTCGTCTAGATGCATGTAGAGTTTATATACCAATATCAAGTGCTTCATGACAAATGATCATATGCCATAGTTCTTCTTATCCAACCAATTAATGAAATGATTGGTTAAGAATGATGCTATTGTCAAGTCAAAAAATCCAATGTCTCAAAGTGAGAAGATTATTCAACAACAATAGTCAATCTTGTAGTAGCAATAGAAGAACAATCAACAAATGTTTTATTAAAATGTGGTGATATGAAGCTATGATGAAGCAAAAAAATAAATAATTAAACACTTCTCCAACATTAATAATAGCAATGATCAATAGTAATAGCAATCAAAACAAAATATATCAGTTTTTAGTAACATGACAAAGCTCCAATAGCAACAAGACAGCAAAATTTTGGAGCCATTGTTCATCAGCTATAATTATTCATCTAAAGAATTTCATCTACAACTACTATTTAGCCATAACTTTGATACCATGTTACAAAAATGACATTCATCCAATGTTGTAAAGACAAATGTACCAAAACAATAAGAAAAAAAAAAAAAAAAAAAAACAACAACAACAACAACAACAACAACAACAATAACAACAACATTTTGCATTTTATTGCACTTTGATTATGTGCTGGACAAGTTCCAACTTGCAAAACAAAGCTTATAATACTATTCAACAATAATTATGATGATAATAACAACAGAACCAAACACTTCCAAAATTGATATAAGAACTCTTAATACATATATTTTAAAAGTTGAAATTAATAATATTTCTCACAAATATTCAAAAAATCTATTTTAGAATTAAGATTGAAAACTTCTCTAACAATTTTCAAGGGATTTATCCACAAAGAGCAGAGAGTAGACAGGTCAGATTTCCCGCCAAATAGTGGTCAACTATTTAGAAACTTCTCAGAAAGAGACTTCCCGTTCCTCACCCTGCCCATGCCTGACTGCCCGCAATGACCTGCCCGCTTTCACATGCCCGCCGTTGTCGGCATCGATCTCGATTCCTGTGTCGCATCGCAGGCTATAAATCACCCTGACACCAACGGATTCGAAGCCTGAATGCCGTCTCACAAATCCGTAGAACATACGGTGTCAAAAGAATTTCAATCACGAAAAGAACCCAATTCGCCCTTCCTGTCCATTCTTCACGAATTTGAAGCTCTTGTTGACAACGCCCGGAGTGCTGGTGCAGCGTTCCGCAGCTTGGCTGCACATTTTCCCACCGAATCGATGGTTTTTGTGTGAAATCGTTGCTATTGTTCGTGTATTCCGTGGTGTGTGAGATTTTCGTCAGGTTACGGAGGCCAATGGCGTTGATAGCTCTCTCTAGTGGCCTTTGAGGACAGAATGCGCGTACAAATGTGGTGATTATCGTTCGCAGAGGATGCGCCAATGGGAGGATCCGATGACGGCTGCCATACCATCGAATAAGATTGTCCGCGGGGCGGGAATTGTCAGTCTCGTGGATTCTGACGAGCGTTGCAACTGAGTTCTTGCATAATGCAGCAGTGCGGAACGTCTGCAGAGAATAGGTTCGCGCGTGATTGATAGAGTTGCTTGTGATGGGTTTTGATTATGGTCGATCTTTGTGCCTGGCTGCATGGTCGATTACTCATGGGTTTGGTCCTTGGAAATTGTCTGTGGTTCCTTCTGGGTGGGTTGCTAAGAGAATCTAAATTCCGATTATCTTTATTTGAAATTGTCCAGTGCTCTGGTTTGGTTCAAATGTGAATTGAAGTAGTATTCACTTGGCATTTCAGGTTGTCTGTAAGGATCGGAGGGATGATTCGCCTTCTGGTGATGGCAACGAACATTACGAGCAATTCTTGCGTCAGTTGCAGAAGACTATTGATGTAGTTCTGGAGATTCTCGACGGGAGTAGCGTGATTGTTACTGGTAAGCTAGCACCCTTTTATTGCGCCTATTTTGGGTTTGATTTGCAAGCACCCATGTTGCGTGGATATGTCAAAGATCGTGGTCTGAATTCTTTACCTTACAATTTCGAATTTACCCAAATGTGGGTGACTCTACAGCCATGATGGGATCGGGAAAAAGCTACAGGAGTGATTATTGCCCAATATCTAGACTACCAATTTGTTGACAGGTGTGCATGTGTTCTCTTCTCCAGTACTTGAAACTCTTGACGATTTGGGAAACTTTGTATGAGAGCTTTTCAGAGGCTTCGTAGTAGTTCTTGAATGCATCTCAATATTTCAAACTTGTGTGTTTCATTGTGGATATTCTAACATAGTGTGTGTGTAGATGAAAGTCCGGGACAGTGTGAATTTAAGTGGAACCCGTTAACTTTAATATACTCTAATTAAGACTCCGACATCTAATGTCGCTGAAGAGCAGCGATGAGCTTATAGGAGACTTAATGGATTATGGCACCGTGGCCGACATATTCGCAAAATATGGAGAGGAATGGTTCAGAAAAAGCGAGGTTTGCTGGTTATTAACCCTTAACTAACAATGTCATAATCTAGTCTGATTCTGGTGCCTTGCTCTTAACCTTATAAAACACTAGATTTATGTGGCACGTTACTCACTTGCAGATAATCGTTTATTTATTGAAGTCATTGTTTTCTATGAGTGATCTTCGTGACAATAGTTTCGCCAACAGTAGCCTAAAGCGGCATCACTTATCCACAGACTGAGGCGCTCTTGCGACTTCGTGAACAGATTAAGGAGGTGCATGAGCCATTTGTTGTTGCCTTAGGGGGCGGTGCCATGCTGAGGCCCGAAAACTGGTATACGACACGTAACCTTCACTTCTCCTTCGTATTTTAGTATGTACATATTGTTGCAGGAAATTAGCTCCAATGTGTGATAACCTTGTTGGAAGCCTCGGTTCAGGGTTTTTCAAGACTGCGGCATTGTTGTGTACATAGATGTACCTCCGGTGGTTTTAGCCAAGCGTGTTGTTGGCGCAGGTGTCCAGTCTCGTCCGCTCTTCCCTCCTGAGTGTACCGAACTCGAGGTACCTGCATTCCGAGGGTTTCTGCATGTGTTGGGATTGTTTTGTTTCATTACAGCGTTTGGACACATCCGTGCATGTCGCTGCAGAATGTTGTTTTACAACCATAATATAGTGAATGCTTGTTTCCGTAGGATGCACTTGCCTCTACTACATGACATAAGTTGGTGCAACACTTGATGTCTTAATTTTACGTTGATGGCGGGCAGAAGAATTGCTAATCAGGTTATATAACGAAAGGAGACATATTTATCAGAAGGCGGACATTAGAGTTAGTACTCAAGCTAAGATGCTCCCTATTGTTCTGTTCAGCTTCTAAGGGTTGGCTATGCTATATGTCACTATCACCGCGTTAGTTTGACATTTTCTCTTCCTTGTTTCAGATTTATCGAGGAAATTGGGAATATCAGACGCTTCGGCGATACCCCCAGCTTTGGTTGCTTTAGAGGTATTTACGCTTAAACTTTCTCAACCATAAGATAGTACGCGAAACGATGCGTAAAACAAAATTTTATTAACCCTTGGCTGCTATGTGCTTCTCTCGTCTGCCTCTATGTGCATCCACTCGAGGTGCATTATGCTTGTTATTCAAGTCTATCAGTAATTGATTATGAGAATATTCTTTTCGACAATTTTAAGAGGTCCAGATTAGATTAAGTTCCCAAAGTAGAAACAACAACTGTGAGATTCCAGGATTTGCTGCTGTCAAGTGAAGTTGCTACACGCTTGTAACTGGTCATTACTTCGATGAGTGTGTGCCAGATTCTGAAGGCAATCGAGAAATATCATAAGTCGACTTGAGCAAAATAGTGCCGATGGATAAGTTCAGCTAAGATGAGGCACGACGCTAATGGATTAATGGTTTGGGGTCATGGCCTTCTTGCAAGTTGAAGAGTTCCTCCGGAATATGCTTGTTCTACTAACCCAGCAATAGTGGGCGTCACCAGAGAAACTGGTCATCTGCCTATTATTTGGAAACAGGAGGACATACTTGTGGTAACATGGGAGAAGCAAACAAGAAAAAAACTCCACTAAGTCGGAACACAAACCGCCTGTAAGCAGTCTAGTGGACATTGTTCATTGTGCAGAGAAGCCCGAAATGTAAATGAAAATCATCGGTAAAGATGGTTTTAGGCCCACTAGATTTTCAGCATTTCTCAATACAGAGCTTTGAAAAACTCCGAAAGGAGTTGTCTTGCAACAAACTGCATGAAGATGGAGTGGTTTGTTAGGTCTACTTCATGCAGACTCTTCAATTTTGATCACTTGTAACAGTTCTCTACATATATTACACACAATTGCTGTCTCGCGCTAGATCACGAGTATGATTAGGCATTAGTGAGCAGGCATGTACTATTTTGCACGAACCCCGACGGACACTCCACGTCCAAGAAATCTGTGCCACTAGCAGTCTTGGTTTGTTTCAGAAATCCACAAGGACTGATGGGAAGAGGTAAAATGGGTTACAGCCCGCCTTTCAAAGTACATCGTCAGTTTTGCTCCTCTCTTGAACAATCCAAAATGGTCGGCGGATGAACCGCCCCGCCGAAACAAAAAAGCGTGTAAGCCCAGACGCTTCAAACCACTCCTTTCGTCGAAACTCGTTAAGAATGTGATAACTACCAACCACAGGTTCAGTGAATGCGAGCAAGTAGCCTCTGGTTTCCTTTGCCCTTCGACAGTTTTATTGAACACATTGTCGACAATGTGTTCGAGTATCGAATCTTACGATGCTGGGGTCTTTTCCAAGTTTACAAATTGAGTAGTACGCAGATAAGAAGCTCCTTTCGCTGCACCATTCGCCGCTTTGAAGTTTTACGTCATTAATGTTTGCTCTATGCAGATCGCAAGTTTTTGGCTGCTACCGAGGATCCTTTCGCAGAGAATCTGGTATGTAGCACATCTTTTCAATGTCACTTTGTAGACTAAATCTGTCTCTCGAACATGGTAGCCACGTTGGATGGGGGCGGAGAAGAACCTGGCATAAGTGATATATTTGGTGGAAACACAACTATCGTGCAGAAACCTAAATGTAGCGGTTGTTTGATTTGGCTTTGACATGAGGCGTACTCTAAAAATAGATATGTTAGTCTTTCCAACTTCGTGTGGCAGCTTCTTGTCCAACGCAGGCCGGGTAGACGAGGTGTGACTAATGCAACAGTAGGGTGAACAGACTCCTTTTCCGGTGATAAAATAATACAAGGTAAAAGAAAGGGAATCTTTCGAACTTGCTCAAAATAGTGTGTCCCCACGAAATCGAAGCCGACTCCCATAAATTAAGGAAACAAGTATTCTCCGCCCGCTCCGAAAACAATTCACACGGTCAACCGACTTTTGAACTTGGCACACCGCGGAATGCATCGATCAGCCTCGGAAACGCTTCTGAAGTGACTGCGACAATATCCAATCAGCTTATAAAAAGCCACCGCGTGGCATGACAAAAGCGAGCCACATCAATTTCAGGGGAGCCACACCATGCGTCAGAAACCGTGGAGGACGCCGCGAACGAAACCCAGTTGGAGTTGCAAGTTCTAGATAATCAACATTAATCGCCCGTTGAGAGGTCACGATTGGTGGGGTTCACATAATGCAAATATAGATTCCTCGTCCGATGCAGCGGATGGCGGGCAGAGTTTACGTTGTTGGTACTGACAGCCACTCCCGAAAGCCTATCTAAAGAGGGGGAACGTGCAGAGCCCAATTTGCAACTCCGCAAGCCACTGCGTCGCACCCAACTTTACATTCCCTCCCTGCAGCTTGATACATAGCTCCCCTCTCTCCTTGTACTACAACAGTTCATGCTATCTGGTACGTATCTGGTCTTACATTGCTCGAAACTAGTGCATCTGTAGAGTTGTGCAACAGGAATTCGTGACTGCAGGTCATGCTCTACTATAGACACTCGCTTCACGTACATCTAGTTTTGTTTATGAAGAGTATAGTAGACGTCTGCGGAATAAACGAAAGTTTTCGATGTGAATTTGGGTGCAGCTAGCATTCATGTGATCTGGGATTCGAACGAACAAAGCAGTGTTGATGGTAGAGTCTTCGTTGAAACACGTATGCAATCTCATCTGGAAGGAGATGAGAACGGTCATTGATGTTGTGCATGCTGTTGTTTCTGACAGACATCCCTCACGCAAGTCATTGTCCACGCTGCACAATGTGCTGACCGCATCGACCTAGAGACTTATACCAGGACTGAGAAACGTGCGAACTTCCTTTTCCGAGCATTTGCATGAATCTGCAACCCAACATGTCGAGTAAGATGAACGTGGTACTGTTGGGTCTCTTCGCATTGCTCCTTCAGTTGAGCTTTTCCTCCGCAGGACTTACACCTCCGGCAGGATACAGGTACAACCTACTCCGTCCAGTTCTGAAACTTGCTTATTATCCACGTAATTTTTGAACATGATGTCATGGTATTTCCCAAAGCGCCTCTGGTTGACTTCTGGGTGGTTGTTCGATGGATGCAGTGAGGGATTCACTGGAAATCTCCGAAGGGGAGAGCAGAAATACCGATGTGATCGCGGTAACTGGGTCAGTACTGGGTCAGCAGGCCTAGTTTATTCCTCCAATGGATCTCCGCTCGCCAAATACTGGTCCACTGTTGATGCTAAAAAAGGAGTCCCAATCTACTTCTGGACCATTGCAAACAGCGCTGGAAGCCACTACGAATCGGGATCTCCCAACTCCCGACTTCAAGCCTCGCCGTTGAAGACTGTGAGAGTGTCTACATCTGCTATCCCTGAGTTCCTTGCGATAGTTAAGAGACGAATTGGCGGTGGAGACGCAGCGATGGTTGCATTCGTGTCCCTCACGGGCACGAAAGGCGGCCTCCCTCCTCGCAAAGCACTATGCAGCTACACCGGAGCCACAGCCGGTGTTCCGTTCTCAGGGACCTTCAGATTCTACACTCAGGACTTGCAACCTCCTACTCTTCCCCAATCTCTCACGCCAAGGGGGTCGTTCATCCAGGCTTTCTTCCTGGAAGGCAAGGCCGTGTACAAATTCGTGGGCAACCGGTGGGTTTACCAGGGCATGTATGCCACAATCTTCACCGTCGCCGGCGGCGAAGCGCTAGGAAAGTTTGGCACAGTGACAAAGCCTGACCGGTTTAGTAGCAAGGTTCTGCTAAAGTTGAACGATCCCAACGGTTTCTGGACATACATGCAGATGAGTGCGCGGCCAGTGCGGATGTCGCTAGAGGGTTGTGCTTGGCAGCTGCTGCGCATCACCACCTCCGGAGGATGGCAGTAAGTTCACTTTCCCGCAATTCGTCGATCCTCTTACAGTTTTTTATATTCGGTGCAGCCATCTCAGTTCTTTCCTACCAGTGGGTGTTGAGACTAGTGCTGTACTGTGATGTTGCAGGAATCCAGTCGGAGCTTATAGGAACGCTGTGATCGGAGCCACCATTGGAGGTACTGCTCCCAAAGTGGCCGCAAGATCTTACGGCATTACCTACGGATCCGCGATGACTGCGGTCTTGTATCTGTACGCATGAACTTGCTGTGCAGGTCGCTTCGTGCAGTGCCCCATGGGAGTAAACCGTTGCTGACCGTTGCAGTTCATTTTGATCTTCGAAACCAAGAGTCTGCAGGTTATCTGCGAGTGTTTCATAAATTATGTTAAGAAATTTAATATCCGAAGCGTGCATGCCCGGACTGTCGATCTTTACATCGTAAAAGGATCGTTTTTCAGAGGCTGTCAATGTATAGTAGCTAGCTAATAAGCGTCGGATTCACCTGGTATTCCAATTAATCTGTCTTGATGAAAGGCGTTGAGAAGACGTTATTAATAAGTCAGAACACGCGATTTCCGAACTGAGAGCAATAGTTCCCTCGTAAGTTGGGACTCTTTGCGAATGTTGCCACGATGTTTCTGAATAAAAAGCAAATATGATTTTTTTCCTGAACACTTCCATTAATGTTTACTTAACCAATATAACTAGTCGTTTCCAGTTCAAGCATTTCGTTTAACAAGTCTTTGCTATGTTTTATCACTACACATCCAACAGTTAAGGATAGACTCGGTATACAACGTTAGCACATTGATTGTTTTACAATTTAGTGTAGTCTCGTGCCAATCAAATGACAAACATCTTACTCAGTCACTATGCACATTTATTTTATTCATGCGAAACTGGGACAGTATATGGATATATATATTTTAAATTATGGGAGGAATTTCTCGGGACCCTTTGGAGCATACTGAAATAATACTGACTTTGCATGGAAATGTCATTCTAACATCGTTTGGGTTATTCCATTTAAATCTTGTGCGCCAATAAGACCATTTAGATATAAACTCTCAGTAAATTCGAGAAAGTAATATTGTTTCCCGTCATGAACAAATAAAGAATGTAAAACAAGCGAACACATCTGCAATGATGATGATGGACTATTGTGCAAACTGTGCAATTAAATCATACGAGGGAAGGGCGAGGATTGAAGAACTGAAGATTGTCGAAAAATAGAATAATCCGCTGTTGTTGTCACATACTCAACATCGATTCGCTGAGTTTTTCGGTGACACTTCCCCGAGAGACGAGTAGGATAGTGACCAATGAGGTAACGGGTGTTAGAGGCCTTTCATTCATGGGGCTCGGCGAGAATGGGCACTTTCTCCAACTCCTTACGCCCAATAAACGAGGAAGAGCTAAAGAAGCCACTTCTCGAAGAGTCAACTTCCGAATAAGACCCTGCTTCTTTCAGCATGCAGCACCGTGAAGCAAGCCACTGGAAAAGTTCGCAAGAAGAGATCAGAAACTTTACTGGGAGAAAACGAATATATTTACTCCCTTAGGATTCCAGGGTTTAGGGTTTAGATTCAAGGCACTGATGAACGTAACTGACCAGGGTCTTCGGAAAAGACTTGCATAGAATATGTTGCTATTGCGGGGGATTGGAGGTCGGCAACCAGGATTCGTCGGTGCTGGCTTGGTTTCTGAGTTTTCTCATTTCTAGGTTTAGATTGTTTAAGGTAACGCGTTAAGGGTTTTTGATCGTTTCGTCATGGAACGGTGATTCCATCAACGTTATCAGGAAGAGCCTGAGGATGTTCCAATTGCGCAGGACTGTGCAGAGGTTTAACCATACTACAAGGCTGTGACCTTGTGTGTGTGTGTGTGCACGCGCAGATTGGTGATTAATTGAGCTGAGGAGCGCTACCCAGACAACGAAGGAGCATCACTAGGGAAATGCTATCTTTCGAGTGGCGCAGATTTGAAGGTAGTGCGACCAACCCCATTTGTCATCTTTTTACAGATTTATTGATATTCAAACTTTCAATGCTCAGCTATAAGTGCTCTTGTATTCTTGCATTCTGTGGCTGTTGGAAATTTGTATGACTAGGATTTTTGAGAATTACATAGCTTGATGCAGTAGGTTAAGCTCGATGAGTATGTGTATTTATTCTTTGGACATATTTTCGGGGTTTTTTAATGGTTTGAAATGTGTAGTGTTGTTCACTTGTGAGAAGCTTCTTTCTTGTTCTGTTTTTTTCTAGTTTTCCGTTTTCAATTTTTTCGTTCCTGGAGCTAATTAGGTTTAGTGTTGAGGTGTGTCTTGAGGAGGTGATCGGATTGACGTCAGGCTGACAGTATTACATGTTCTGATATCGAAACATCACTATCTTGGCTAGTTACTGTTCAAGGGCTTCTACTTACGTCTGAATGTTAGTCTGGATGGTAGGACTTATGGTAGCAGGTGAGGAGAACAGTGGGAATGCTCTAATCGTGGGCGACGTGTGTGTTGGGAGCAGATTCGGAACTAGTTTCCTCATTCACTTGAATGATACATTTTTAAGCAAAAAGACCAGGTTCGCTTAGATGCACAGCATGGAAACTAAACTTTGCAATTCCCTACAACTTTTTGCAACTCAGGTTCGAGGTCTTCATCTTAGTGAAGCCGCTCCTGTAGACAGAGCTCAAACTTTTAGGACCTTGAGGCTTGTGAGTATAAAACCAAATGTAAATTCAACGAAGACTCTCAGAGCACATGGAAGGCAGGAGATATCAACGTCTGCTGCTGTACAAGTAGTTGGTTGTGCTTCAAGACGTGCATTGCTTTCCAGCGATGTTGATGATAGATCACAAGAAATATCTCTGAGTTGCAGCCATCGCCTGGCTCCTCCTACAGAGCAGTACCAACATGCAGAAGTAGACTTATCCAAATCAAAAGAGTTGCAATCTGCAGCAATTTCTATCTGGGAGCACTTTGATGTACTGCTGACAACCGAACGACATAGCCCACGCCATTTGTGTGGCTATTGGACAGGACCCAGCCTTGAAGAAGATGGTTGGGGTTATGTAATCTGCTCAATTTCTTGAAATTAGATGCAATTTTAATGAGTTTTTAATTCAGAAAGGACACGTCTACGAAATGATGTAAATCACGAATACTTCGATAGGTATGCTTTGCCTGGACTTGAAAGGCTCATAGAAGTAGGCCGTTCACTCCTCTTGCGGGTTTGTACCATGAACGAAATGAACAACATTCTCGCTGGCTGTGCAATGCCAACTTCTGTAAAACCCAAACCATCGTACATAAGTTCTTGTTGTAACGTCCACCTGTGGTATTGCTTTCTTTCCTCTTCCAAACCCACTGTGGCAGCCATGATAAGAACTTGGAAGAATTCAGCAGAGAAAGCTGCCTACGTTCATCAACACTTACTAACACATACACAACTTGGTATTGGTAAGTCAGTCAAACCCTAAGGGCGTGTCATATAGTTCCGACTACATTGCATCAGTCATGCACGTGACAGTCTTCGACAACACCTGGTCTCAACCAAATTGTTAGGACTATGTTGGGAAGTTGTCAAGGGTGAAAGTAAAACCCTAAACCTGGACATACTACGCAATTAGGTCACATGACAGAATCAGAGGGTGGGGGGGAGGGGGGGGGGTTGTGTGTGTGCAAACCTTACAAGAGAGAAGGCGAGCGGTGGAGGAAGTGCAGGGGCAGGGCCATGCAGCAGCTGTGCACAAGAAGCTGGACCTGTCACAAAGCAAGGTTTGCGATGGAGCCACCTACATTTTCTCCGTGACGCTGATTGAGGGAGTCGTCACGGACTAACAAACAGGACAAGGACAGGGACAGAAGGACTGGGAGCGAAAACCAAGGCAGGAGACCTAGCTATATGAGAAAGAAGGGGGAGGACCATGTGAAGAGTCCTGCCCTCTCTACATCTTGCTATGAATCCGGGCTTTCTAATCACAGTGAGGCTCCTGGTTTTGTGCTTTTAGCAGCCTGGCTCATGCTCATGCTTAAACCCTCATCCTTTGCTACAAGCTTGCTGCTTGCCCCAATAATTTCCTCTTCCTCCTCCTCCTCCTCCTCCTCCTCCTTTGTTGCTTCTCCTTCACTTGGCTTATGTGCTGCTCAGTTCCCCACTGACATTCCCTCATCACCAGGTTTACTTGTAGAACTGTTTACATACTCATGAGGCTAACCATGGAAAGGTAAACTAAGGCAGCTGAATGGGTCCTCTCTAATTTTGATTCTGGTTTATCAACTGCAACAACGTTGAAGTTTGCATGGAATATTTGAAAAAAAATAAGATCTTGCACTGGAAGATTGATTGTTCATGAGAAATGTGTTTGTGTGTGTGGATAAATACACTCATCTCAGTTTGAATAAGAATAATTAATGGTGATTGGTGATTGTCGTTGGAAAAAGATTAATCAGTGTGCAATCAAATTAGGTTTTATTGTTTGGTGTTGGAACTGCTGTGTGTCCAGTAACCGGCTGTTTGTTTGATTGTTTTATTTTATTTTATTTTTTAAGTGGCTGCCGTGGCAATGAAGTGAGTACTGGTGGGATGTGAGAGAGAGGGAGCTCTCCTGACTCCCTATTCACACCTCCCTCCTGACTTCCTATGCACACCTCCCTCAGCTAAATTAATTAGAACCCTTGTCTGATGTTCACTTCCCAGAAGTCAAGCCCTTACTAGGCTGGTTCGTTTCATTCAAGGTTTGCCATCAAAGCATCTAATCTGATAGAGCTTATTCTGTTCGCAGTGCCCCCACAAAATCTAAACCCATAACCCCAAAAACAATAAAAAAAAAAAAAAAAAAAAAAAAACAATTTTTTTTTTTTCAAAATTCCAGTTTTAAAAGGGAGACGAATAGCGCATGATCCTCTTATCATGGATCTGTCAAATGGAGCTACTGGGATAAGTGAGAACCTAAATGGTGCATAGTAGTTAGTTTAAGAGGGAGAATATGGTGGGGAACACAATTGGCTTTATTCCACAGGGGCCCAGTCCTGTGAGGTGGATCAGACTAATTAAAGGCAGGGGCATAGGGGATTTCGGGTGAGCAAAAAAATAACCCATAATCCCAGATTCTGTGAAGCAGGGGAATTAGGGGGACCACCCATCATCTAAGCCCCTCTAATTGGGTGGGTCGACCAGGTTGTGAAGCCCTAATTGGGTCAAAAGGGAACCTATGAGAACATGTGCAAACTCATGGGAACGTGTGGGGAACCGTGCCATCCCACACTATAAAGTCGCGGTGTTGTTTCCTATATGGCGCTGATATCAATTCTCAACCGTGTCTACTATCTTAGACCACTTCAAAATAAAGAAAAACTGGGAGTTTTAGGGCACGAATACAAGTTACAGCCCACAAAAGCTATCATCATTATATATAAACTTTTTTTTCCTAATAAGGTTTAAAAACTCATAACCTCCCCTGAAAGATCTATTTATAGAAACATTTTATTTATTTATTTACTTATTTATTTGGGCTAATGTTTGTTCTGTTTTTCTTAATGTTGATTGTTTTCATTCAGATAGTGAAAGTGTGACTTTTTGCAAAACATTCCGGATTTTTTTTACGAAATTTCAAATTGCAAATCATTCTATCCTCTCAATCGGTTTGACCTTTTAGCCAACTAAAAAACAAACTTCATTTATTATGATTATTGGAGAAAAACTTCATACCCCTGGTTCCAATTTCAAGGGTCCCACTTCTTCTTTCTCTGTGTTTATTTTATTTTTCTTTTTTTCATTTTTTCTTCTCCCTTCCATTGGATTCTACTTTACTTTATTAAATTATTGATTGTGTGCTCAAGTGGTGATAGCATACTTGGCACACACACACTCTCCAAACCCTAAAGTTTCAAGGGAGGAGGGGGTTTTTGATAGTCCAATTATTATGTCTTTTTTTCCTCACACTTCATTGATTTCAAAGCCTAGGGACGCTAAATATCATCTTTTTCTAAAGGACTGTCAAAGGGCCTTACACATAAATATGTAAGCATGCACCTTTGTGTATGTAGCACTTCATTGATTGTTCATGTTGGATTTCTTTAAAGCAAATTTCTTGAAAGCCAAAACTAGAGAGAAATGTTTGTCCAAGTGATATGGCAAGTGCATTGATATGTCAACTACATTGTTGATGAATTTTATTCCTTGGATTATCATTCACAATAGATGTTTGGATAGAACCTTTTTGTTGCATGTATATTCTTCAATTTCATTAGAAGAATAAGAGGTGTGTGAGAGGGGGTAGAAGGGATGATTCTCCATACACATGAATTCTCTGATTAGTTGTTGTGTTACTTGATGTGAGGGAGTATTTGTCATGCTTTTTTTTATTTTCATACTTGATGTTGGTTTGTAGCGTTTGAACTTTTTATGTAAAGCAATTTTGAGTTACACAATCATTGATAGAAGGCTTATTCTCATTCCTATATTAATCAATTCTATACATACCACATTGTGTTAAGATGGTTGTTTCTACTCAGGCTTGTCACCTTTGGATTACCAAAGCAAGCAAACACTTGGTTTATTAAATGAAAATTTATTACTTGTATTCATCCTCATAGGGTACCACCATGGAGGTAGTTTTTTCTTTAGCTCATACCAAAGAACAAATTAAATCCACAATCTCTTCTTAAATATGGGAATTTTTTTAAAAAATAAACTAAATCAAGTAGATATGCAAGTAGGAAGGCAGGAATAGTTTCATTCACAGCTTATTGCATTTAATATTCAAAATAACTATCACAAGACAATTAGAATGATCAATTTTATGTGCAAATAAATGGAGACATTGTACCAAAAAAAAAAAAAAAAAAAAAAAAAAAAATGTTGTTGGCAAAGTGATCATATCATTTGAACTCTCATTTTCAATTTTGTGTTTGATGGTTGTCCATCCACAACAAGTGAAAAATAAAATTTTATTTTTTGAAAAAAAGAAGCCAAAAGACAACTTTTTAAGGTTCACAATGACTCTAAACTAGTGGATAATGGTAAAGCTGGACCTCAAAACACATCCACTGTTCAAATCCCAACTGTGAAATCCCAATAAATAAATAATTTTTTTTTCAATTGTGAGGTGATTATCCACAATCCTCACATATTTACATACGTGAGATGCATTTATTTATATATAAAAAATAATATAACAACACACATGTATACAAAGATAATTAGTGATATTTAGTGATTATTTAAATACTAGATCATTGATTGATTTGTTTATATATGTATATGTGTATGTTGAAAGTGTGTAGTATCTGTATGATTGAAATGTCAAAATTTTATGTGTTGAATGGCTTTAATTTTTTCAAAGAAGTATAGTTGTTAAAGAAATCATTATAATATAAGAGGATGAATAAAATAAAATGGAATACATTGATAAATATTTCATAAAATTGAATTGTACATATCTAAAAGTGTACATACCAGCCGCTAATATGTTTAAATGCATTACATATATATATATATATATATACTACACTTTGTATATTTCTATAAACCATGAATACAATCTTAAGTCAACCATATATAGAATACATAAAAATACTATTCGGTATGTTTGCAATATTTTTTGTTGATGGTTGCAAGTGGTGTATTTATAAAAATGCAAAGATAAAGAAAGACAAATATGTTATCAATTTTAAATGTATGTATGTGTGAGCTGATGTATATACAGACATACACAAATACATACTCAATTCTATATAGATTACATCTGTACAATTGTTTTACACATAGGTGTCCTGTATAATTTTACAAAATTGGCATTAATAATATAATATATATGTATATATATATATATATATATAGTACAAGAATAAAATCATACTAAACACAGAATGAAACGTTGTTGAGTATGATTGATCTAACTTTTTAGGTTTTATGTTTAGTATTCAGACATAAATTATAAATACAGATGTCAATGGTATTTTTATGTTAGCTTGAACGCAAACAAGCAGCTACAAATGTGTAATTAGTCTGTTTGTGGGCTCTTCGCCAGAATGATTTGTCCTTTGATTTCGTAGCTTACTGTAAATATTCATGTATGCCATAAATGTTTTGTGAATTGATGCAACAGGACTGGATTAAATTTTTGATTTTTCGATTTGTTTTCAGGGCATTGGCGTACAGGGTCATAAATTCTCTGCTAAAAGTCGATTTTAATAAACAATGATCAATGATGGAGTAAAATTATATGTTACAATGCTCTGAAAGATCATGATATCAAGATGCAAACCACAAACTCCCAGCGATCCTTTACTCTCAAAAATTATTATGTAATGAAATTATAAATTACGTAGAATTTTTGTGGAAATTCAAACAAAGAAAGAATTCTTTGACAGTCATTGTATACAGTTAGAAGTCGTAACACAAAGAATGTTTTCTCACGATTCTTCAAAACCTACGAACCTGAGCAACAACGTACGCTCATGCATCACTGTTCACGGATTTATAAAAAAATAAAATAAAAAATCAACAGGAATCTTATCCACCATTACAAATATGAACTTCTTAAGCATAAACAGTGAAGCATAGGAAACAGTAATTATACGCAACGCCTCTTTCTCCTTCAGGACAGAGTCAACAGACTGTGATCTTGACATCCGCAATGCCGGACATCCAGCGACATAATCCTACCTCGATTGCAACATAGGGAAACGATAGTTGCAAACGACTATCACCGATCAAGCGTACCTGACAACAACAACGTAAGCTACATAGTGCACACAAGTCGCACCTAGTAACACACCAAGCACAACTCCGACACTTCCAACTACCAGCGGCGCTTCCCTTGGAGACGCCGCACTGTGTCACACTGCGGGAAAGCATTGTCCATGGATCGCAATTATTCTCTGCACGCTTTCAGTGACAGCGCCTAACGGAACGTTGGCCATGAGAAAGCTTGCACGAGCGGAGGTCCTACCGATGGATGCTAAGCCAAGCCATTAGAGACTGCCAACTAATCGCCTAGAGCTCAGATTTCGAAGTCAGGAAGAACAGAACTGAACAGAACAGAACAGACTGGTGGAGGAGAGAGAGCTAGGACGGGTCCTCGGAACGGGGAGACTGGGCTGGGCTGGGTTGGGCGAGGGTAAGGGAAAGCGGGTTTGGCGTCGGAGCGACGCCAATTGCGGCCAAAACTGAGGTTGCAAAAGGAAGGGGACGCGGGATATGGATTTGGGGACCTGGTTGGCGGAGCGCCGGTATCGTCTCGCAGGGAGGGCCCGGGCTCCGGCGCGTCTCGGTGCCCGGTCCGGCTCCGGTGCTCTGGCCTGGCTTTGCAGCAGCACCTGCCTGGGCTTCGGTCTCGTGTTTTCTTAGATCTGGAGCTTGCACCGCATCGCCCTCTCTCGCTCGCTCTCTCTCACCTGGTCTTCTACCCCTCTGCATTACTGCTCGTCACTCCCGTCTTCCTCTCCTTCTGTCCCTGTCCAGTGACATAACCTCCCCCGTTACGCTTTCAACGTTCTTTAGGAGAATGCTCTCACTCTCGTCCTCGTCCTCGTCCTCGTCCCCTCTCTTTCTTCGAGTGGTTATTCGTTGGTGACTCGGTTCGTGTTTTCGGGACGGACGCCGTTTGTTTCGAAAGCTCGGTTTTCGAAATTTTGAGGTGGAGTTGCGGAGAGTGAGTGCAGAGAGACATGGAACACGGAGCTGGTGTTGTGTCTGGAATTGTTGAGGTGATTGTAAGGAGCGACGCTTAGGTTACAGGTCGAGAGGGTAGGAGATCCAGGGTGAGGTTGGGGTTGAAGTTATGCGGTTGGTTGTGGATATGTAATCTTGACGGAGTGTGAAGCTGGGGTTTGGAAGCCAGTGGAGGATAGGTATTTGGAGATCATCTGCCATGTTACTCCATACGTGAAATGTGTGATAGCAAGGGAGGCTGAAGTTGTATTGTAGGAGTGTGGCTGTGAAGTGTTAGGTGGGTAGGGACGCAGCCATGAGCACTTCACGGTTTATCAAGTGCGTGACTGTTGGAGATGGAGCTGTCGGGAAGACGTGCATGCTTATTTCATACACCAGCAACACATTTCCTACTGTAAGCAACGACTGCTTGTGGAGTGGTCTATCATCTGGATAGGTGTTGGTTTCCTAAGTTTCATTCGGTTGCTGAATCCCTCAACAAGAATTACGGATCTTCCATATGCACACGTATATACGCATGTATGATTTTTCCATCTCGTAAAGTCGCCCGGGTCATTCCGTTAGTCGATGGGATACCCTACTACCATGCGTAAGTTGAACTGGAGAGGGATGGCGCGCAAGGAGATGTACTTTACCACAGCGTCTGTTAGACAGCGCTTCTTGTACTCTTACGATGTCCTAAGCACATGCCCGTTCGTTTCGCAGGATTACGTTCCTACCGTGTTTGACAACTTCAGCGCAAATGTAGTGGTCGATGGAAATACCGTCAACCTCGGGTTATGGGATACAGCAGGTGAGAGATGATTTGACGCCAAGCTCTTCTCTATCGTTCATATCTACTCGAGTTCCAATCGACAGCGCTGGTATTGATGCGTAGTGCTTCCGAATGGAAACTACATTGTGCGTTGTGTGGCTTTGATTATAAATTTATCCAGAAAATTTGGTCCAACAGCTGCACATACGGTCATTCACTGTACGGTATTCATCTTTGGGTGATATCATTCACTTCATGTCATTGAAAACAATTCGCCCTGATTGCAGGTCAAGAAGATTACAACAGGCTTCGTCCTCTGAGTTACAGGGGTGCTGATGTTTTTCTCCTGGCGTTCTCCCTCATCAGCAAGGCTAGTTATGAAAACATATCAAAGAAGGTATTTGCTTGTTTGGCATTGATCTCTTCCTACTAGGGTTGCTGCGTGCTAGCAATTGATAGAAGTGGAGACTCACGTGAAGTGTTTCACGCATTGCAGTGGATCCCGGAACTGAGACATTACGCGCCATCTGTGCCAATCATTCTCGTCGGAACAAAACTTGGTCGGTCTCCTGTGCTTTTCTAATCGAACCCTCTACGTTGTAATGCATCACTTCGTTGATTTATATGCCATCTCTAGTGTTGAGATTCTAGCACAGGACAAGTATTGTGCGGATGTGCTCAATGGACTGGCTTACCTTTTTAAAAATCTTCCAAGACATTTGTCACTCTTTTTGTTTTGTTTTTGTTTCTTTTTTCTTCCTATGTTTACGAAAATCCTGTCACCAAGCTTGCTCTTCGCGATGACAAACATTTGGCAGATCTTCGCGATGACAAACAATTCTTTGCTGATCATCCTGGAGCGGCTCCAATAACTACTTCTCAAGTACGTCTTGAAGTTTACTTACTCTTCTGCTGAGTATCTGTTAAAGTGCCTGATTTGGTCATGTGATTCAAGTTGAGCTATTCCAGCATTATCATCAAATCTTTTGTAGCCAACCAGGTGTACTCGGGTTGATGACCTCTGGGGATCCTATTCGGGTATCCCAACAGCATAGATTTCTTGTACCGATCAAGTGCTGTTGCTTTGCTAAAACCTCTTCGGTGATTTAAGAATCTGATGTCCGGCAACTCTGTTTTACAGGGGGAGGAGCTCAGGAAGTCGATTGGGGCGGCCTCGTACATAGAGTGCAGCTCAAAGACTCAGCAGGTAACTTTTTGGACTCTTAATTAACTGTTATATGTTTCACTCCTGATTAGGCAGTCATTGTGAAACCGCGTCTTCAACTGTATGCTGAGAACGTGACCAGACTTTGATGTTTAAGAGCTGGAATAGGATCCTGCGCAATTCCTCATGCCAAGGTCGAGGTTCTGTAGCTTAGCTGAGGAAACGAATGCATTGTCTACATTTTGAAAGAAGTATGTCGAGCTCATTGGGTGTATGACATCGATATTGGTGTTTATCAATCAAACTGGAAATAAGGGTTTCGTGTTAGTGGAGACTGTCATCTTATTATTGTTTGCTATCTCTTATTGCAGAATGTAAAAGCAGTTTTTGACGCAGCAATCAAGGTGGTTCTCCAACCACCAAAGCAGAAGAAGAAGAAGAAAAAACAAAAGAATTGCGTCATTCTGTGAATGTGGCATAGCTTTTATGAGCTGGCTTAGTTTTTGGAGCCGATCATAATTGTTGACTTGTAAGCTCGTTCATCGTCTGGTTACGTCTCTGCTGAAATCCAGTCGTATAGGTCCCACGAGTGATTCTCTGCATCTTGTGTCTATCTCTGTGGGCATTGGGATCACTTAAAATTGTAGTGTATTCTTTTCTCCTGCTGGTAATTTGGTGAAGGATATGGGGAGATTTTGTAGATGGTTGGTGCTGTACCACTGACCGAATGGGCAACCTCATCTCGTAGAAATGGTTTTGATCAGTGTGTACTTGACAAACATCTTCTGGCAGCTCAAAGGGGGCTTCAGTAGGAGGCTTTGTAGACTTATCAGGCATTCACAATGGAAACGTCGTCCCTATTTTAATGCTTATGCACCATCTGTTGTGTTTTCCGCTTCTGTTCATTTTAAGCGAGGGCAGGCAATTGTAAGAGGTTTTGCTCTCATAGATGCTTTTTGTAAGTTTTCTTCTTAAGGTTTGGTCGAGTAAGCTTTTCACTTGCCTGTAGTTGCCCTGCATCTTGGGATTTCAGTGGAGCACACGTTGGTTTCTTATATTTCGGAATGCAGCGTTTGTTGGGTTTGTTCTTTATGAAGCTGCCGGGATTGTATTAGCTGAGTGCTGCTAATAACGTCTCGTAATGATGCAAACTTGCTGTGAAAGTTAATATTTCGATATGTGCGGTAAGCATTCATGCTCCTTGAGATCAGAAGCGATGCTTTTCAAACGTACTATATCGAAGTGGAACTGTGCAATTTCATTACCTTAGCAATCAACGAATGTATAGTCATCCTCAATAATAATCTGGATCGGCATTTGTACAGAATACAGTATGTATTTGAGTTTCAGTCTTGGACTTACATGCATCAGAATCTGAGGTAGAAACCTGTACATTCAAATTTCAAATTCAAATTAGAAATAAAATAATCACCCTCTGTAGCCAGTCAGTTGCTTGCATGAGAGCTGAAATCTCAGTTGCAATCCAACGATCTAATATCCTTGCAGTGTCTATTTAAGAGTCATAATATCTTTTCACATTGGTTTCACTTGTAGTGTATCATCTGTTGCAAAAATCTAAAACAAGAGGACTGTATTTACTCGATCAAAATCCTGGAGGGAGACTCAATCTAGCATAATTGGTGAACCTTAGCTGATTTATATTTGAAGCCCCTGTTGGATTTCCGGTGCAACTAACATCGTATTTTACACAAGTGAAAGTGAGGTTTCAAGATCAACCATCCATGTTGAGATAAGATTGTATCTGAGGGTCTACAATCGTAACGCTAGAATAAGTCACCGGAGATGTGGACCTAACTTCCGCAAATGCAGATATCAGTCGTTATTTGGCTTTCAATGAGTAATATTTCCAAAGAGAGATTGAGGAGAGGGATGCACGCTGGACACTAAGTTTAACATTCAATCTATAATTAGAATGATGATAACAGCGGAACAGGGACCTTGAAAGTTTGAACCTTTTAAAATCCACAAAAGAATTTGAAATTATATTTAAAGCTTTTCCGACTGCAGTGATATATGGTGATAAGATGCACTCATTCACAAAAACAACCGTACAAATGTAGTTCACTTCTGATTTCACTTCTGAAATTCAGCGTTTAGCATAAAATTCTCATCGTCTTCTCTATTTTCTTTTTCAGGCCTCACTCATCACATTCCTTCCTCTCCAAAGCGCACTATAAGACTCTGAAAACTGACGATCAACCAAAGGCTGTTGCTCGTGATCACATTCTACTCTTCCATCGTTACCCTTAAGTTTTTCAGAATCTGCTTAGTCTTGATGCTCCAGAAGGTGCTTCTCAACCTCTCCTAAATTCTCTAAATACACAATCTGGAAAGGTGACTCCCCATGATAGGCCTTATGTAGGAGGACTCGACGGCAAATCTGAACCAGACATTTCTCGAACGTCCAGACAAACAACCAACGACATGCTCACGAGATGATTATTAAACCGGAGTACTTATTCAGTCTGAAATTTCTCGAGCAACCAGGAGACTGAAAAGTTACCAAAAAACTCCGACAGCGAGTAGCTACGTGTGAGACAAGTATCCCAATGACTGCTATCATTTGATGCTCACGGCTCGCTGTACTTTTTCTTCAGGCCACAACGTTTCAAAACAGTCCTTAGTGATGGCATATTCTTTCCATCTAAGAGGACACATTTATCTGATCTTAATACTTCCGCAATTCCCGTGCCATGTCCAAAACTGAGGCTGATCGTTCTCCATCCCCTGTCAGCCATAAGCAGCTTAAATGCAATTCCAAATTGATCTAGTCCGCCGAAATGAGGCAAGAATTCAAACAAACAGATCGATACATACACCACAGATAAAATCCATAATTACCGTCTTTGTTACTCGTGCACTCATGAGCTACGCAGCAAAGCCCTTTCCAAACCTTCAACACACATCAATTCTTCACACCAGACCACAATCATCCTGCCTTGCCTTTCCGATTCCCCTCCGCAACAGCATGCGAAGTAATTGGTGCGCCGAGAGGTTGCTGATAAGTGCTAAAAGACGCCATCCCTGATCGAAATCTAAAGCTGAATAATCTGAAATGCTGAGAAGGGAATCGTGCTTCGCAGTTATCCGACCATCTTTGCGTGGTTTAGCAGAGCTGGATTTCTCTCGTGATGGCTGTGGCGGTGGCCATGAAGCGGTTGCTGCAACAGAGCAGCGAAATGGAGCCCTAAGTGCTGCATACTAATGTTGCAAGAGATAAAAACTTGCAGTGTATTGGAAGAAGTAAATATATATATATATATATATATATGGATGTGTATATTCACATTATATTCACATTAATAGAAACTCGTGTCATTAAGCACACGATGGTTATTCATAAAACATTCTTAAAAGAACAAAATCGTGAGCATATGAGAACACTTTTAAGAATAATTGCTATTTTGTTTGAAATCAATTTCTTTGATAAATTTCAAGTGATTGAATATGTTTTATACAAAAAATAAAAATGGTAAAGTGCCAATTTTATTATTTTAAGATTGCTTAAGATTAGTTGTATATTCACTTAATAGCCTTCAAAATATTCGACATTGGAAAATGTATAAAATAATAGAAATTTAATTAGTAATGCTAAACCACACAATCTTTCTGTGTTTATTTATGGAATTGTAAAGTATGTATATATGTATATATGTATATAGACTGTGTACAAATGAATTTAATTGATGTACTCAAGTGTAGTTATTATAATTATCAAATATGCAGATACAGAAAATTGATTTGCTAAAACGATTAGTAAAATTAGATCAACATTTCATGCTTTGTTTTTAGAACTTGAAAAATAAATGTTATTATTTGTTGTGTGCATTTCTTTAAAACCTTTAAGTGATATCTAAGATTACCAAGGAGAGATAAATATAAACATGGCTTGTGAAAATCCATGCTTCTATTCCTAATAAACATCAAATTTAAAGTTTTTAGTGAGAATATTAAATGACCAAAACAATTATAGACTTTTGATAGACTCCTCTGAGAATGCCAAAGCCTTACGAAAAACCCATTATTTTTGCCATCATTTTCACAATCCACTCCAATTACTTTATTGGAATGCCTCCTGATATGTTTACAACTATCAAATTACTCCGACGTAGTTGTTTCGATGATTTATAGCCAGTAAGAAAAAAAAAAAAAAAAAAAAAAAAGATGTAGCATTAGACAGATACTAAACAATGCTTGAATTACAAATAGTCTTTCAAAAAATGTTTTTATGAGTATTTCTGCTTTCAATAAAGTTATTTACAGTTATATTAAAAAAATGCTTAAAACGATGGTAAAATAAAAATGTTCTCTGTCATCACGTGCATTGTAAGTGAATTTGAAATCCATGTTTAAGATGATGGAATGAATAGGAATAGTAATGTGCAAAGCAATTACAGTATTACTGTTTGTAATATGGCTGCGGTGGAGCCAATCTACGATCTCGTATCCAGACACAGCTACTCCATTAATGTGTTGAATTAAATGACGAAAACGTTTATAGCTTGGTCAATAATAACTAAGAAATAGCGTATTGATTGAACAAGCAATTTACACACGCTGACATCTAAGAGACTGCTGACAAATAACTATTGCTGACTGGCAATTGTACTACGAGTTATTAAAAGTGCAAGTTGTTGAAGTGGGTTTACCTGGTGTTGCAGACGTTGGATTGAAGCATGAATATTCTCGTGTTCTGCACTGAAGGTCCCCATATTTTTAAATGTTCCTAACGCCATCACGATATTTGCTATGGCCACACCTTTTCTAAAGAAAACATACTAACATTGTTAACAGATTTTCTCATTGGGAATGAAAAATAATAGAGTTGGTATCACGCTGTTGTGACAGTAGCAAGAATTGTCTGTTGGGATTATAAAAAAAACTAGAGTGAGCTGGAGTGACAGTAGCAAGGACTGTGGTGGCATTAGCAATACCCTTTCAAAATCATGAGGTCATTCGAACCAGACTTAAAACTGAGGGGTACTGATTCAAGTTTGTGAATTCAGAGGGTTAAAATGTAAAGTGTATCATCACTCACCGTATTTGATGTTGATCATATACAAAACTAATTATATTGAATGCGTGATATGAACAAGGGCACTCAGAGGCCACTCTATTTTTCTTTGACGAAAAAAAAAAACAAAGATTAAAAAAAAAAAAATCACACTTACAGAAGTCAAGGACATTCTGACACGAGAACGCCGCTACTTCATTTTTATTTTATTTATTTTTTCATTTTCCAAGACTCTTTTATAAACTGCTCAAAAAAAACAACAGAACGGGTAAACCCTGGATGTATGTCATATCCTCTCCAGAATAACAGCAACTAACTAAGACCAACAAGTTGGATCGCTAGTCAAGAAAGAAATTAGTGCCAAAACAACAAAGTAGTACCCACTCTGTCCCACCAAATTTGGACAACATTCCTAGCTGCTCCTCACTGAGCAGTCGTAGAGCTGTCTACACAGACAACCCCACCCCAAAGATGACTGGCCCAGTCAGGATCCCGCATGTAAAGCTCTTCATGCTGAATCGCTGATGGAAAGGTTCCCAAGTTGGTCAGTTGGTGCGGACGGAACCGCTTGAGCCATGCGCAATACCTCCATGGCTTCAGCTACCTTAGCCTTCAAGGCATCGGGCGACTCAATTAAGTGCAAAACTTCAGTTTGATCCATCTCAAGAAGCATACCCGTCACCTTACCAGCAAAATCATGCTCCAGCTGATCCACCAGTGGGTAAAGCTGCTCACCAAGCATCTGAGAAGAACCAACAATAAAGATGCCTCAAACATTTGTAGCAAGACAAGATTTGTTCTGTAAAACGGCGGCAAACTTTTCAAATTGCTTTTTAAAGTGAAAAAAGTGTAACGTACGGCACGCTGTTGATCAGGAGGGGCAGAAGCCAAAGCCGAAGCAAGGGCACTAATCGGCAAAGGCTGCTGAGGAACGCCAGGATCGACATTGGCTGCTGGTGCCCCTCCGATTTCAAGAGGAACAGGTAGCATAGTGTTTATAATGCCCTGAGGAGGAACAGAGACATCCGGAGTGTTCCGTGCATTAGGAATATATCGGAAGTTGCGGTTACCACCCCGTTGAATCATCTACACAACGAAAAATCATGAAAGTCGGGATTAAATTGGAGAATTGAAAGCAGCAGGTAACTGCAACAAAGTTAGTGGAAACAAATGCCGCTTGCAGTTGCCAGTAGAAGTGAACATCAATACGCGCGAACTAAAATGATGCGAAAAAAAGAAAAAGATAAAGCATACTTGTTGCTGTGGTTGCTGAGGCGCCCCTCCGCGCCTTCCTCCGGCACGCTGTCCTTGCTGTCCCTGTCTCGGGGGAACATTCGGATATCCAATATAATTTGGAATCTGAGCTCCACCAGGTCTGATGATTTGGGGCTGGAATCCATACGCGGTAGGCTGCACGCGACGTAACAGAAAGTTCACTCACCACATCGATAACGCTGCTTCATTACCGAACTTCTTCACTTAAAACAACCTACAGCGCATGCAAGAAGCTAACTAAACTAGCATGCAAACTTACTAAGTTTGAGATGACAGAAAGCTAACCGGCAATAGAATGGAGACCCGGGACACAGAAATCATCATACCTGAAGTGGAATAGGACCAGGAGGATGTTGTCCGTAGTAGGACATCTGAGGACCCATCCCTGGAGCGCCAGGGTGGTACATAGGAAGGCTAGTTGGAACGGCAGGACCAACGTGAGTTCGCATTTGTGCGAAGGCAGCCTGAAAATAGAAACCTAGATCAGATTATGCAACACAATCGCACCAAATCAATACCATTATCCACATGGAGTACCATTATCCACCACGAAGCCCACTTACCTGTAATCTCATCCTCCTCTCTTCCTTGCGCTGTGCTAAGGCTACGTATAGTGGTTTGTTACCAACCATCTTGCCATTCATTTCAGTCACCTGAAGAGGAATGAAAATAGAAGTAAAAAAAGTGGCGAACCAAATGAAAGGAGATAGGAATATACTCGGTCAAGTGCGTAGTTTTTGTTCGACTAATTCTTGTCCATTTCTAGCACTGTCGTCGAATCCACTGTCATCGAACCTAAAAGATACATTCAATGATTCGAAATGAACACTGAGTCTACCAGAACAGAATCATCAAAAGAAAAGTGAACATTACAGTAACTGTTACGGATCATACCGCTCGCGTTGCTTCATCCGGAGATGAAAACGCAACAAATCCAGAACCCTTGCTCTGACCCTGATGGTCTCTCATCACCTGTTTTGTTCATGATGCAGAAAAGAATTTCAGAATACAATCTCAATCATGGCTCACGAAGACACGATCACAATCCCATGGCTCACGATGACACGATCACAATCACCTTGCAAGATGTAATGGTTCCGTATTCTGCAAAAAGCTCTCTGATCTTCTCATCATCGACCGTATCGTCCAGATTCTTCAGGTATAAGTTGACTCCTTGGTACTTTTCGATCCTCTCTTTGCGCTCTTGCTCAAATTTCGCCCTAAGCTCTGCTTCCCGCTCTGACTTCTTCTGCGCACGTCCGACATACCATTCTTTCTCATCGAACTTCTTGCCTTGCAGAGCCTCAACGGCTTTGGCGGCATCATCAGGATGTTCGAAGTTGACAAATCCAAAGCACTTAGACTTGCCATCGTTGTCCCTCATGACCACAGCGCTGCTGATTGGACCCCAAGCTCCAAACACTTTCTTCAATTCGTCGTCAGTTGTGACGTCTGCAAGATTCTTGACATACACATTGTTGAACTTGGAAACTCCACCTGCCTGATCTCTTTCCTGGCGACGCACAAAAGGACCAACAAACACCTGCTTGTCGTTCAAGAGCATTCCATTCACTTTTTCGATGGCATTCTGAGCTGATTCCTCTTGCTCAAACTGGACAAAGCCGTACCCCTTCGACTGGCCAGAAGCATCAGTTGCCACCTTACAAGAGAGAATGTTACCGAATGCTGCGAACGTGTCGTGCAACGCCTTATTATCAATGGACTTGTCCAAATTCTGCATAGTAAATTCACAGGAGTCAAGAGAATACCCTTCGACAACCATTTACTCGCCATGCGCACATGAAAAACGACGTGAAGGGAAATAAAACCTAGCGACACTGCAGCAATTTAACTCAAAGGAAGTGAAATCACATACCTTGATAAAAATATTGGCTGTACCACTCTTCCTAATGCTTGGATCTCTGTGGGAGAACATAATACGAATTGGTTTTCCATTCACACCGGTAAAGTTGAGCAACTCCAGGGCACGAGTAGCTACAACACAGTTCAACTCGAATAAGTGAGCACGACGCTTTAGAATCACTAGGCACACACTGTAACGCTTGATCCTCAAAAAATCTAGAGGAAAAACTGGACCGTATGCAATACACGCTGCGCGTGCATGTGGCACATCTTTCAGCATTAGAAACATCGACTAGACATACTATCATTGCAAGGTGAGTCGACACAAAAGAGCTACAAAAAACCGGCCTAAGAGCTGTCTGACACCAAAACCCTAGGAAAAGACTGAAACAAAACCAAAATCCAGAGACGCAATACAATGGTAATCGCACTCAGCATACATACCATCTTGAGCGTTGTTATAGTTGACGTAGGAGTATCCTAAGGAGCGCCTGGTGATAAGGTCACGGCAAACCCGGATCGATACAACTTGCCCAACCTGACTGAACATCTCGTATAATTGAGCTTCAGACACATTGGGCTCCAGGTCCCCGACATATAGAGAAGTTGACACAAACTGAGTCGGCGCGGGCCCGCTGGCAGCAGGAGCCTGCGGCTGTGCTGTAGCCTGAGCCATAGTTACTGACTGTAGACACAAGGTTTGAGCGAAGCTGTCCCGAAGAGTAGAACAACACTGTTGGAAGTGTTTTTTTTTCAACGGCGAGAAGATAAAGTAGGTCTTCCACGTGGATTGATAAGTCTTTGGGATCTAGGTTTTTAAGTTTTTCTTTTATTTTCAAGTTTTCAGGCCCTGCTAAACAGAGTTCCAGGGAATAAGGACAGCAACGAAATCACGCACCGCGTCTTATCTCCCTCCCCCGGTTGGAATCTCTGCTGCTTAACACACACCACCACAAATACACAAAGCGGCTGCGCAGACGATGCAACCCGCCACAATTCTGAAAGGTTACTTCCAGTGCACAAACGCGGAGGGAACAATAACATCCAAAAATCACGCAAAGACAAGGCGAATATGTCTGCAGAAACATCATAAAACCAGCTAAAATCTTGCCAGGGCACTTAACCGAACCAAGACGCCACCCGCGGGGTTCGATGACGAACCGAACCGGCAGAAACAGAATCCGTAGTTTTAAATGGAAATAGGTAAAGAAATAGAGAAACCTACAGTAATCCCAACACGAATACAACCCCCGCCAACGCCCTGCAGATTACCGAACCCGAACCTCGACACCAGCAACAAACAACCAAGGGCGCTAGAGCTTCACCTGATGAGCGAAGCGGCGTCGGTGCGCCTAGGACCTGTAATCACGTCGAGAATTTTTTGTAGTTTTGCCACCCGCTGCTGTTGCTGCGACGGTGGAGCGTGGTATTCGTAATAGGGAATGAGGAGAACTTAGCCTAAAATGTGGCCGAGCCTCATCATCTCCCGTGCGAACACATGAGTGCCGAACAGGCAAGGCCTTGGCCAGCGCCTGCTTCTCTACACTCACAACGTCGAGAGGCTGGGGGACGCGCGACGGAAAGAGGCTGCACGGGAGGCAGGAGCAAGAAAGAATACCCGAAAGCCCTGTCTGGCTAGGGCTTCGCTCCTACCTACTGTCCCGATTGGGTTCCTCCCTCGGCTCATACCAGTATACCCACCTACAAACCCCCTAAATTAACCACATACCCTCAGGTACCCGCCATTGTAAATGCATGACACCGGGGAGTAAGAGTCTGGGTATCAGCCAATTCGAGGAAGAGGGCTAGTAGCCAATCCAGAGCCTAGCACGCGTTGTGTGGCCGAACCTCACGGTGGTAAGAGGGTCGGTCTGCGCGGGAGGAAGAGCCAAGCCAGGCTTATTCAAGTTGCGTGAGGGTGGGTGCGGGGTCCGTCCCCTTCGTCGTGGTAACCCTTGAAGAGGCTCAGCGGCGGGTGGGCTGCCAGGCTGCCAAAGGGGGTTAGCACTCCAATCGAAGAAGCGATTAGCGTAAATCGTCTCCCGTTCTGGCTTGAACCCACGGCGTTGCAGCGCCGTGGATGACTGAATTACTGACTGAACTCCAGTTCCTAGCTTTGGCAATTTCTGGGTCTGTCTGTCGGAAGACCTCCCCCCCCCTCCCCGCACTAACCCGTGTCTGCATCTGGTCTAGGGTTTACGGCTTTCGCGCTGCTTGACTCGTTCCTCCTACATCTTGCTCAGGGTTTGTGATTAGCGCTGCGCTTGGTTCCTGATGATGTTCGTGTGGCTGTGAACTAGGGTTTCGCTTTTTGCGCTTCCCCTCCCCGGGTTCTGCTTCCGGAACTAAGCCATCGGGGTGGTCTCTCTCTCTTTGGCCTTTGCTCGAATTCCTCGTACAGGACTGTCTTGGTAACCATGGTAGTGTTTAGCGTGGTGTTCATCTTCACACTTCCATGACATGGTAAAAGTTCGAGCGGAGGTAGCATCTAAAGCGTTGTTTGTTTGCTTCGATGCTTGGACTCTTCAACTGATTGCTGCAACTGAACATTTTGAGTGGAACAAAATTTTGAAAAGGTGCAATAGATAGATATACACATATATACTTATATATATATATATATATATATATGTACATTTAATGAAAAATAGTATTAGTTTAGTATGTTAAGTTACAGAAGTGTGGGAAGGAGTACTGTGCACCAAATTAAGGATACTTTTGTTCAAATTCATGGTTTGATTGCATAACCCAAAGTTATAACAATGACTTTAATAATTGTCGAAAGAATCTAAAATAATCAGAATGTATCATTCTGTTGAAATCATTGACTTTTAACGGAATGAATTTAGTGTTTTCAATCTTAACTTTATTCAGGGCTGGGTTGTTTTTGAATTGTGATTCCAATTTGCATAAAATCAAAATTGAACGGTGCTGATGAAGGAGTTTGAAACAAATGTATGTGTGTATCAATCGAAGTTAAAGTAATCTAAGAATCAATGAATTAAATATTTAAGGAGATCGAACGTATTCTATTTTTAGATTGTATGAACAATTTGATTCTGTGATTATTATTATTGCTTTTGCATGAAGGTCAAATCATATTGATACCACAATATTCTCATTGTCATTATTGAGGTGTTCATACTTGTATCACACATACTAAAACTGGTGTGGGTGGCTCTATGTGTTTGAAATCATAAGTTTGAATTCCTGATTCACTTCAACAACATTCAACAGAAATAAATATCACGATATTATTTATTTTTTGTATACAAAATAAAATGAACAACGATATTAACACTATGTTGCAATTATAAGACTCAGTGTATTAATATTGCATATATATATATATATATATATATATATACATACATATGTATTATTGTTATTTGAAAATTTCCAAATCATGTATTTTAATTATTATTACTTTTTCATCACACATGAGTTTTATCAAAAAAAACCATCTATCACAGTTCTAATGATTTCAAGCAGCAACTGTAAAATTCACATGTGAAAACATAAAAGTTAAACCATCAATATAAACTTGAACTTTTGAAACTGTAAAAAAATATCTCACGTTGAGTAGTGACCAAAACGTGATCAGTGCTCAGAACACAAATTATAAAATATAACATAAGATTTAACTAGTCTTAAGTTGTTGAAAGCAATGCAGTATACAATGTATTTACATATATTTAAATTAACAATGGATCAGAATTAATAAATCGCATTCTAAAAGTAGAGTGATGCGTATAACCCAGTACCTCATGAATCTAATTAAATCCTTTGTGATTAATATATACAATGAAAAGATGATACTATTGATCATTTTATTCAACAGTGATAATTATTTAATATTTAAAAAGTAAAAGTAAATAGATGTTATAATTTGTTGTAAATTGGACTGAAACAAAAGTAATCTTTACATTCAATCATTTTGTTTCATTCTATTTCATACTATTTTAAAAAAATGTTACATGGATAAATATAATGTAAACTCTTTAAAAAATATGATACTATCATTTTTAGTAAACAATGAAATTGTCAAGTTTAATTTTGTACACAGCATTACATAACACATGAAATCAAACATAAAAATTTGCAGATTGCTTTATTTTATTCTGTTTTATCACAATCACATACATTCAAATGTTAATTTCATAAGGTACTTAAATACTTAAATAGGCACAATTGCAATATTACCTATTATACTTTACACACAAAACTAACAAATACATGCATTATACATACATACATACATATATATACATTCAAGACCTTTGATTGGTTGATCCAAATCCTTTTATCTTTATTTTGACATAGGTCTCAGTCCCATCCTTCTTCTTCTTCTTCTTTTTTTTTTTTTTTTTTTTTTTTTTTCCTCTCTTGTCCTAGCAGTGGGACTTACTTACATTGGAGCAATGAAGAGATGGAAGAGATTTGGGATGCACACCAAGGCAAGGAAGAAGAGAACTAAAACCTTTACTATGACAATGAAGAGAGAGAGAAGGTCAAAAAAAGAGGTCTAGATCAGCTAATCCAAGGCCTCATGTGTGTGTATAGATATAATAGATGCATATGTAGTAATTTGGGGTGTGCTTGTAGCTTGAGCCACTAAATTATTGTATTGCATGTAAACATATAAAAATTATATATTTTAATATTAGTATAAATAAATATCCATATTCATATCTAAAAATTAATATTATCATGGCAAGTGTCAATTACATATAATTTTGATTAAAAATATATATAAACCATAAAAAAAATAAGAATTCAAGAATAAATTTGATGAAATTATAGATATTCTAAGTTTTGCCTCTATTCATACTAATAGTATTAAAAACTATAACACTAAAATGAAGTAATTTCTTTTACAAAATACTAGAATAATATTATAAAAAACATGTTCATATGTTGTTTTTGAATTAGATGTTATGACATATTACTACTAATATATTAGATTTTAAAATTACGATAGTAATATTTAAATTTTATAAGTGATTTTTTTTGTTTTTTAAATAAAAACTTAATAGATATTTAAATATAATATTAAATAATTATAGGAAATTGTAAAAAACGAAATATTATTTGTTAAGTGTTTTTGCTTTAATAATATCTAATATAAAATTTATTAAAAAAAATAATTATCATAACCAAACATTAAACTTTGCAAGCTTTTTAAAATATTATTGTAGTTTTTATTTTTTTTATAAATACTTTAGAACCATGTTTATTAGTATAATACAAACATGATTCAGTTTTATCAAAAACTAATATTTTAGGAGTATTCAAAGTATATAGAGTTTTTAGAATAGATGATAATATTTTGGATTTATAAAAAAACAAAACCTTGGATATAATTTCTTGTTCTTGTGAACTAAAATAAAATAATATCTAAATCTGGAAATTAATCTGAAACTTCAAAAATAATAGTTTTCAAAACAAGTACAACAACTATGAAGTTTTCTTCCATATTGCCTAAGTAAAACTAAAATAGAAATACAACAAGTTACAAAACCACAACAACAACAATAATAGAAATATAGAGGGTGCAACCACAACAACAATAATAAGAGTGTGGTAGGTGGTAGATGCAATACAATGTTGGATGGAAATAATAAAACTTTGTATGCAAATATTGATTCTTTTTGTTGAAACTTTAAAATGTATATATATATATATATGAAAGCAACAAGTTGTAGGTTTAGAACCTATCTTTGTTCTAACTTTAGTTTTTCTACTCATTCAAGTTATAAGTTTCAATTGCAATAGAAAGATTTTATTTTATTAATATATAAAATCCAAATAATAAGCAATCTTTAATAAAATCATAGTCTCTCTTATTTGGAAAACTATGAAAATAATTCCTTAAAATGTTCAAAATATTTTAAATGTCAAATTAAATTATTAATTGATTCTTTGTACATAACTTTTAAAATCTTCAACAATACTATACATGTTATGACACTTTTTGGTTTTATGAAAATAATATCTATTTTTGTACTTAACACAAATAGTGTTTTTCTCTAAATTTTTTGTTAGGCCCATCTCAAGAGGTGATTTTTAGAAAAACTTAAGAAGTTACATTAAAAATTGCTTAAAACAATCATTAAAAAAACTATTTAGAAAAAAATTAAAATAATATTTTTCATTATTGTTTGAATCAAGATACAAACTGACATATTTAGACTTATAATAAAAGATGATTTGGTTCAAAAAGACCCTCTAAAATTGGTTTTATATAAGAAATTTTATCCTATTCAATTCAAAAAATCATTATTAATGTCATAATGCCTACACAAGTGCAAAACAAACACATGTTATTGAAAAATTGAAATTTGCTCAAATGCAAATGCAAAAAAAATCTATCAAAAATTCAATCTTATATCTTCACAAACAATAAATTAGGATAATAGAAGATTATTTACAAATAACCTTGACTTAAAAAAAAAATTTATTATGTTGTTAAAATTTACTGGTAAATAAATGTAGTCAAGATGGGAGTGTCGACATGAAGTTACTTAGTGGGAACGTCGTGATTTGTACTTAACCACTTTGTCTCCACAAGTATTGATACTAATATTCTTAGGTGTCCTCCTTTAAGTTGCTTGATAAGTGACTCAAACAGCAAAGTATTTTTTAAGAATAAAGTTGATCATATGAGTTTGTTGATTTTACTGAGAGCAATTAGAAAGAGAAGGCTTGTATTTGACACCGAACCTTCCAAAGTAATGGAAGCACCAAACAAAAATGCTATTGATATTGCAGTGCGTCATAGTTCCTGAATACTTTTTGAAGAAGATTCCAGCCAGACTTCTTGATCTGGCAGTGATGAAGTGAATTCCTCACAAAAAAGCGTACCATGTTGTCCCTGGGGTATACATAACAAATGATGGCTATCGTTCTGAAAGATGGAGCAATTCCTACACAAAGTGAAAGCTGATACCGAGAACATCATCGCAGAATCACAGGTACAATACTATGATGTATGATTGCCACGCTTGACGAATGCATTTCACGTGTGTATCCACAACCAGGTAGATTCCAGACAGATCCGAGTACAAGTGTAAGAAGCTAGAGCATAGAAATTAATAGGTGCGTCATGAACCGAGATTCCATCAGAATGTGTAAACCGGATGCACCGTTTTAGGAAGCATACATGCAGTTCTGAACCTGACGGCCATCGAAGTGGATGCTCTAGAGCAATGCATGAGTGTAAAAAGTGAACCACTTAACTCTAATGAACAACACAATACAGCTTCAAGAATATCAGGAACTTTTTATGGTATGAAAGTGGCAACTAAGGCCCACTAATCTGCTGAAGACTGTACATCAAAAATCTACAATTACATGTTACTCTACAGTTAGATTACTGAGAGAGGTGTTTCTCATTAATTTGCTCGAATAGACTTCACACTAACCTGATTTAGCGATTGGATCGCACGAACCCATACACAGGACCTGCAAGGCAAAAAGCAGAACAGCCGGGCTATTATGTAATCTCCATCCACATCTTCCTTTACGTTGGCGAATCGGACAATGAACTTGGTTACAAATCAAGGACTTGGCAAGCAACCAGCTCAACAGCACCAAAGCTGGCACTCGAAATCGTCTTCCACCCAACCTCAAACTCCTTCGCCTGGTGTGATTGAGAGTTGAATCCCAACTCTGCTCTCAAAACTGTCACGTTATTATTAAAATCTTTTGTAATGACATGAAGCTTTCCATCAAATCCGGCCAACAGGTAGGGCGACTCCGAATCACTGAGGTCGAGTAGGATGGGCACCTTCTTCAACACAACCTTCCACACATCCTTGTCAGAATCATAAACCTTGATCTTGCTCCCATCCATGGAACTTGTGGGGTCGAGAGCGTACAGCTTCCCACCTACTACAGCAGATAGTTTTGTTCCTGCTTGCCGGGCAGGCCAGTCATTCCCCATCCCAGTTGCCATCTCAACCCAAGTGTCCGTTGCAGGGTCAAAAATCTCCCCACCAACATCAACGAAAAAAGGCCACGAGTACAAACTTTGAGGAACACAAAGTTTTCCATTATAAGAAGCCATTCCCGTCGCAATCGGCTTCAACATGTCTGACAGAAAAGCTGTAGGAAGCACTCGTGCCCTCCGAAATGGCATTGGGGCAACTTGAGACCATGAATCTGTCTCAGGGTCATAAACCTCAGCGGATTGCAGAGGAGTTAGGCCTCCTCGACCCCGATCAACTCCACCAATAGCATAAAGCTTGTTGTCAATAACCCCTGTCTTGCAATATGCACGAGCAACCTCCATCGCCGCTGATGACGCCCACCGGTTCGTCCGTGAGTCGTACCTCCAAACTGCACGCATAGCATTAGCCCACGAGAAGCCCCCCAGGACATAGAGACTGCCATTGATAGCTCCCGCCGAGCAGCCACAATACGGTATCTTGTCCAAGAAGCCCTTCCGCTGAAACCAACCTCCAAAGAGACTAGTCAGCCGCAGCATCCGCAAAGGACCCGAACGGAGCCTCCACCCCCATGAGATCTCGTTTGCCTCAGTCTTCTTGGCAATATTTGATAATTCAGGCATGGGGGGCAGCTTCCTCCACCTCCCTTCCACAGGGTCTAGTACACGCCATCCCAGGCGCTCTTCTTCATCCTTCATCAATACATACAACCACTCCTCGGTCACACCCAGCTCCTTCCTGAGATTGAAGAATTCAGGTGTGGAGAGAACATGGTACCAAGCCTTGCATACACAGCTTAGAAGAGGATGGTTTCCCCGTGAGACACGAGCTAAAATTTGAACTGCAATCTCTTCAGGCAAGCCTGGTATGGTAGCTGGCTGGTGTTCATACTTAACACTGATGCGGGGCCTCTTTGTTGAGTCACTATTCCCAATCGAAGCATCGTACTCTGAGTTCCGTGCTGAACTTAAAAAAAGACCCATCGTTAGGACGATGGCTGCAGAAAACGAAGCTTGCTTATTTGTTCCAGCACCATAAACATGGCGACACTATAAATGCGAGCGCCACCATGGCAGTCAGCACATCACATCCAGCCCCACAGCTACCCCTGCAGTTGCAAGATTTCAAAAATTTAAACGAAGAATTCTGAAGATGTGTCCCTCAAAGCCCGAAATGCCAACTTGTATTGCATTACCCTCCATACACAGGTACAACATCCAGCAGTAACAACGCCGTTACATAGCCAGCCAGCAAGATGTAAAACAAGTGGGACTAAAAAAGGTCACAGTGAACCAAACACTCTCGTAAAACTCCCTTGAGCATGAAAGTTCTACGAAGTCGAACATCCATATACAGCGTTAGCACAGCTTCAATAAGGCTGGGTTACTTTAAGTAGCAAGGACGAGCTAGCGTGCTGTTTTATTTTACAACTTACCCATTTCAAAACTTTCGAGAACTAGGACACACACCCCTAATTAAAAATATCGACTAGTAACAGTAGCAGTTAACGGATGCGCTAGTAAGTTCGGAATTGACACTAACGATGTCGACGATACCAATATGCGGATCTCGTTGCTGTTCACTACAGAGCAGCGAGCGTGAGAGGAAGTGTGAACTTGGGCCAGCGATGACACTACAAGCTCTACGTAAACGGTGATTTCAATCGCGAAGCTTCTAATCCCACAGGTCCAGACTGGAGGTCATAGAAGAGAAACACTTCAAGCATCTCTGCTCGTCATCACTCCACAAAATCATTAAAAAGGATTTCTCATGAGTGGTTCGAAGAGCTTGGGCAAGAATTCAAAACGAGATGCAAGAAAGCACAAAACTACTGAGCGTCGCTGTGGTGAATTGTTCAATATGCTCTGTGAACAACAATTATTGTAACGAACTGATTCTCAAGCAGCAAGACTATGAGATTCCTTTCACGATATGGTCTCGAAAAATTGATTTGCTCTCACGCCCATCAGCAAGAAGACCAAAGAAACCAGGAGGTAAAAGGAGAGATGGCAACAATGGCTCTCGCTACTGTAATCTCGAATCCCCTGAACCCTAATTCCCGAAAGATCAAGAAACTCTGCCTCAACAAAAACTCAAAAATCATGAGAGGACAAAATCTTCCTACCAAAACCACACACAAGTAACACTCTCATGTACACAAGGAAGAACAACAAATTCACCACACACTTCGAATTCCTCCCGGAATCATCAATGAATGCCGAATTTGCAAAACCCCTCCACTCTAACAATTCACAATTCAACCGCCAGTCAAGTCTGATATAATCTCCAGGGCAGCGAGGACGCGAGTGCCAAGGAATTGGATTCCTACGGTTACGACCCACGAACCGTAGTGCGCAGAAATGCTTTCAAGGGTTCGAGGGCATGCAGCTTCGCGAGTATTTTAAACTCCGCCCACATTTGAAATTCCGCATGATATACAACATGGTGGGCGATCGTACCTAGTTACACGCCACGAGGAGCCTGCGAACTACAGGGCGATGGCGGGGAAGCAGCAACGGGGCGGATGCAAAAACGGATGGATGCTTCTCAGGCACTACAGATTGGAAGCCAAGCATCGATGGAGATAGACGACGATGAAATGAGGTAAACCCTAGGGGGAGAGGACGCCCCGTTCCGAGACGAAACCATCGTTCCCGCTTCGCTAAGGATTCACGATGAGCTATTATTGTCGTCATCTCCCGACGACCGGTTCAGACTCGAAATCGTTGTGCCACCTGCGCAATTTGTCGCTTCCCCTCCCGCAACAGGATTCATGAGTGGGAATTGTCGTCATGACACGTAGACGTTGTCGAATTGTCGAATTCCAGTGGCGGGCGTTGTGTTTTTTTTCTAAAGGAATATATGTTGTTGATTTCTATACATATATATATATATATATAAGTGAATGTTAAAGTGACCCAAACTTTTATTTAAGTGACCTAAACTTTTATTAAAGCGACCAACCCATCATCACAATCAATAAAAAAAACAATTACCTCTAAATTCATTTCTCTACTACTGGATCCGCAACCAATGAAAACGGATCCGCACATTCATCCGCATTCATGATTACCTAATCTTCATGGTTGTTACCATCATACCCGCCTCCATGTGCCTCAGTCCTTCCTGATAGAACCTTGATTATGAGTTTAAAATGGAGCAAGAGACAGCCTCATTCCTTCGCCCCCATTTCGCAGCTCAGATCCGCTCAGTTTCGCTGTGATATGTTGTTAGTTATCTGTTGCTATCTGCTGCGCTCATCTGCTGCTGGACCTTAGCTCCGCTCATCTTCGCTCATATCTGCTCCTAGTTGCCCAGGAGATTATTGCTTAGTACATTTGGATCGGTGGGTCCCAAACCGACTTGCGATCCAGAGTTTTTGAAGTGGTCGTTGTGTGCGCTGCAGTGAGAATGTTTGCAGCTTTTCTTCTTAACGGAGAACCTCGCACTGGGTGGAATTAGAAGTCGTACACTGAAGGACGCAATGTCGGAGGATAATGCACGCATCTGTTTGTACCGGGAGTGGTGTTTTTTTTTTTTTTTTTTTTTTTTTTTTGAGGATTGTGTTTGTTTGTTTGTTTGTTTATTTTGTTTTTGTTTCTTTTGTTGCAATACAGATTGTTGTGAAAAGCGGTTTGCGTTGTATTGTGTATTTTTGTTGTTGTGTCTATGTGCGCATAAAGTCGGAGGCTCACAGTTTTGATTTGTTGGAGGCGTATGTGTATCGTGATAATTATATCCCGCACTGATAGTTTGAGACATGGTGTGTTTGCCCAGGTGTGTTGAGTGAGAGTGACCTGGCAGATCTGAAGCTGGCGAAAATGAGCAGTGGGGGCTATTCATCTCTCGATGACGTGACAAGCGTTTCAGCTCCCAAGATGGAGACGTTTTTTGTGGGAGAGGCTCTGAAGCATCTGTACCTGCTGTTCGTCGATTCGAACGTCCTACCGTTGACTGAATAGGTATTCAACACCGAGGCTCATCCACTGCCGATCGCGCAACAACAGCGGGTGTCGATGCTGGATGCCATACAAACTACAGATGAGTAATTGTGAGGGAGGTTTGTTGGGAGTGGGATTGCATTTGCGTGGTTGGTCATGGTTTCTCGTGTGTTTTAGAGTTTATACAGCACCAGTACTGTGATAATCGTCTAGTCAGAAGTTGATTTTGTAGGGTCGTAATGCTGGTAATGGGTAGTTCTTCCAGGTTTAAGAGTGACCTCATAGGAGATTGTCATATATACGCCGTTATTCCATTCCACCCTTTGTAGTAGTTACATTTCCCTGCATTGACAATTGAGAAGAGTGTAGAGCCATCTCGATTTCCAGACACAATTCCAGTTGTGACTGAGACTCGTTGCCTCTTTGGCTGACAGATTTCAATTGAACATCGCCGGGATGATTGGCAAGCACATGTTTCACTCGTATATGAATCTGAAATAAACTAATGCAACTGCATTTCTTGATCAGTTCCTTGCTCCATGTGGTCTTCCCTTTGTGGGCGACTCACACGTGGATTTTCAAATCGCATAGTAACTGTAGCAAGCTCCAATAGTTGTTCGCGCATTTTTTTCTTGTTGATGTAGAGGTAAAATAACAAATGTTAGACGAACAACATAGAGTGGGCGGAGACTTTTGGAAGATACTTCGACTTGTGTTGGTATTGTAGTTGACTGTTCAAAATCATTCGCCAAATGATATTGAAGATGAAAGTGAGCAATTGTCAATAGAAAACGAATCCGAACTTATATTGTTCAAAAACAAGGTGAAAGGAGATGAGATATGAGATATGTTACACAACATTGGTGAACAGACTAAAATTATGTTGACGAGAAACATTGGTTTGTTCCGAAATCTCTTGAGCTTTGAATTCTCTTGATGTATTCTCAAAAACGTGAGAAATTTGTACTTCTCTAACGTCTTTGAAGTTTAGGTCTTTGAATGATACTTTTAAATATGATTTCAATGCTAAATGTTGACCCTCTACTTGTGACGTAGGAACACTTCCAAGGTAAATGAATTTATTTGTCCACATTCTAATAAATCTTTTCTTGTGTGGTATCCAAGTATTTTGTAAATGCAAAACAGCTCCATGAGCAACAATGGGGGTGTATTTGCTGGAAAGATTAGTCCATACCAGATTGAAAAGCTCTTAAGAAGATGGACTTAACACAGTGGTCCAATTTTCAAGAAATGAGGATCACCTTGATTGAAAACTATTTTTTATAATTTGTTAACATATTTTTTAAAATATGCCAAATGTACAGTAACACATTTGAAGTTATCTTATTCTTTTCATTGCATCGGTAAGGAAAATAATACTAAGTTGCTTCTAACGTTTTCATAAGGCAAGTAACAGGTGAACATCCAACAAGTGCGATATTTCCTAATTTTTGTTGCTCATAGTAAATAATTCTAGTAATAACTTTGCGGTTAGAATCACTCTCTTAAGGCAATAACAACATTTTTTGGTGGAGGACTTACAGCAAGTAGATGTGATATCATTTCTTTCTGTGTAGGTTGAAGAGGCCGAAAAAATGAATGATCCAGAACAAGGGTATTAATTTATTAATTTATTTTTATATAAAAATGTCAGTAATTACAACTTTAGACTTTAGCATTTACATCATATATCTTGAATTTGTATCATGTAGCTAGTTTGTATCATAAGTGCATCTATAATATGAGTAACTATTCTTTGTATTTCATTAAAAAATCATATTTTGTATTTATTAAGTCAAGAGATCTAATAGTAGATTAACTTATTATGTAAAGCTTTAAGTATAAGTATTGTTTTGTACTAAATTATGTGTAGTAAACAAATAAAGTAAAATATAAAACATACTGTATTCATATATTGGTTTTATATATGTAAATTAATTTGGTGTATGTAGCATATATATATATATATATATATATATTTTACAAAGCAAGGTTTGATTTATTTTGTAAGATTCCAAACTTAAGTTAAAAGGACCTCAAATGGTAGTTACATTTAATACAAAACATGAAAACTTTGAGTTGTTCATGTTATTAATGATACATAAATTGTATAGGTATATAGACCAAATGAAGATGGCAAACAGTATCTTCAAATATTGTGTATTTACAAAAATTCTTATAAGTAATAAAAAAATCAAATATTAAAAATTAAATATTTGCCATGGTTTTTTAAAAATATTAAGTTTTTAAAACATCAAATAGAAATTTTTATGCATAAATAATATTTATTTTTTAAAAATACTGTTATATGCATATTTTATTCAAATTACATTATAAAGCACTTCTTAAATCTTATCAATCTTAAAATAAAATCTTCAATATTTTATTACTTTGTCTAAATTTATAATTAAGCTTTGTACTAATATTGAAAAAAAAATCAATTAAATAAATTTTAAAATAAATTTTAGTTTTAAAATAAAAGCCTATTATATAGTAAAATAGATGCAAGCATATTTCATGGTGTATAACATAATTATACATAATTATCAAATTAATAATTAAATTAAAAAATTAATACCAGTTGTAAGTTGGAAAACCTCAATATTAACAAAAATAAAAAGATAACTTCCAAAATAAGTAAAAACCAATAATTATTTTAAAAAATACTTATGTTGGTTTTTACTTATTTAAAAATATTCATTTAAAAATAAGTATTATTAAATGAATATTTTTTATTTCTGTTTTTTGTTTTTTACTATCACTCAATATGAATATGAAGAATACATTTAATTATATTTTATTTTTTATAAATAGTAAATTATAAAATATCTAGTGGAAATAATCAAATAGTAATTTTTTAAAAAATCTATTAATAAAAAAGTCAAAATACTATAATACATATAGAATTAAATTTAAAATATTAATAAGTAAAAAATTCAAAAATCTTACATTAGAATTATTTATCTATTTATTTTAAAAAATTAAAATTTCAGTATATTAATTTAATTTTATTAATTTTTATTAATTTTATTATCATATTAAATTTTATTTTATTTATTTGATTTTAATAATAAAAATATAATAGAAAACTAATAAATTTATTTTTTGCACATAGAATTTCAATTAGAAACTACAATTTTTATATATTAAGTGTATACTTTATTTTTGTTACACTGCTTAAGTGTGTTTGTTGCTATGGTGTATATAATTAATTTTAAAATAGTAGAAATATGCACATACTTTTATTAATAGTATATTTAAGTAATTTATATAATCTTAATTTAAGTCTAAAACAGCATCAATTTAAAATCCAAAGCTATCTTTAAATACTATTTGCAAGATGATTCAATATCAACATTGTAAATCTACAAGTCTTAGATCAAAAATGTTGCATTCTATAATCACAATAAGTGCACAAGTAAATAGTCATAATCAAATTATATAAATGTTTAAAAGTTGAAGTTCATTGAAAAAAATGTTTAATTTTTTCTATTTGAACAAAATATAAAATTTTAAACACTTATTTCTCTTCTATGATTTGTTTTATTTCTATAAAATGCAATTAATACGAAGTTGACCAAGGAAGAAGTTTAGACTTGCAGTGTAGTCTCTTCTAAACTTTGTGAAATACATATATTTTTTAGAATTTTAGACCAATGATAATATGTTCAAATTACTGTGCATACTGAATGTACTGATTTATTAATAGTCTCAACTTTTCTTGTTATTCAATCAAAATTATAAGAATATTGACAATTTTATTTATTTATTTATTTATTTATTTATTTATTTTAGTTCTTACTTTTATTTTTTGCAACTATAGATTTTTAAATATAAAAATTAAAGCATAATTTTATGTACATGAGTAAATAAATATTTACTTATTACCAATTATGTTAACAAAGTTGTGTATGTGTTTATTTATTTATTTATTTTGTTATCATGCTTTGGTATCATACAAATACACTGGTAATACATGAGTCTATGCTTGACCATGTTTCTTACAACAAGTGTTACAAAATGCTTGAAGGCACTAAAATACTAAAAAAGTGATATAAAAAAAGAATAAGAAACATATTTTTAGATTGTATTATTACTATATAATAGAAGAATGCATTTATAAATGCAAGGCATGAATGATGCTTATGAAGAAGATTTGCATAGAAGAAAATCTTTTTCAACTTAATAAAGTCTTGTGACATTTTTTTTAAAATAAGAGAACTATTTATTTAATTTTTTTATAATTTTTATCCATGTTATTATTTAATTATGTAAAGATTTTTTATGTAGAATTTCAATATGAAAAAACCACAAAAATGAGACAATTCAATATCTTTTTTGCAAACTTTCTAATTCATATTATTGTACGTAGTAATATAATCATTTATAAAATAAATAAATAATTTTGGCTATTTATTGGTGTACTTGAAAGAATTATCAAGATATACAATGCATAAATTTTTAAATTATATTCTGTTATATTTTTAAATTAAATAATATAATAAAATATTTTAAATATTTAGAAGAGTTTTAATATTAACTTACCATTGTTAAACATAATATTGATAAAAAAATAAAAAATCCAAATAACAACAAATGCATGCAATAGCTATAAAGTTTGCAATGTTTGAATTATAATTTTAAAAGTTTTGAAAAAGAAGTATTTTTTTGTTATAGATAATCTATTCCAATAATATATTGTAGATATATATGAAATTTTTGATAAAACTTTCTTGACTTAATATAATAGAAATAAAAAAAAATTATATAAATTTATATTTAAGATTAATTGATCATTATTAAAACCATAAATATTTGGCATATACTTGAAGATCTATTATATTCTCTTCTTCTTTTACATTAATTGGTGTATGCTAATAATACAAGGATTTTATGAATATTATTTTAATTACTGAAAATTTAGAGTTTTTTATATTCTTTTATTTAATTTGCACTTGGCAGTATGTTTAGTAGAATTGCTAGAACACCAAATTCTTGTACATTATCTAAATGTAGTTACTTCAGGTTTTAAGAAGCAATTATTGCATTAAAAATATAAATTTTAGATTATCTAATTTTTAGATAAAATATTATGCATATTTATGTTATTAGATTCAAAACCATAGAATGTTTATGTCTACAATGAGTTCCATCTTGTATATTGTTTTGCATCAATATGACAAATCAAGGCATCTTAATAAGTTATAATATTGTTATTTCAAATAAAATTTCTAATCTTATATTATAATTTAAACTTTAAGCTAAAGATATAACATACAAGGTTTATAACCTATGCAAATATATCAAATCAAATATAATATTTCTAAATATAATAGAGTATAATTTAGAACTTTATTTATTGTATATAAACTATGTATGTATTAACATACTCACAATAATAAATATGTATATCTCTAATGTGTAAATAACTTTGCTGATAAACACATCACATAATACCAATCTATACTTCATTTGTGTTATAACTTAATATCTATTACAATCAAAAAGTAGGTAGAAGAATCATACAAGCACCATCGAAACAAAAAATAAAAGAAGTTCAAAGTACACATAGATTTTTAACAAAATCAGGGCCAATTTGACCTCTTTTATTGATAACTAGTGAAAAAAATCCCAATAGAGTAGAAAAACTCTACAACAATCACAATAAGTAAAGCCACATATAAATACTATGAAAGTATGCTAATCTACAATGAGAGAAGATAAATACTCAAACTCCTCCTCCAAAGGCTAAACTTAAAAAAGATGAGCCTTTTTTAGAGTTTTGGAGTATCTAAACATAATAGGACTTGAATAGAAAGTCAAGGACCTCAAAGACCCTCTTCTGGGACTCCTTCCAAGACTCCAACACTTAAAACTTAAATCTCATACTTGTGATGGCTCTATGCCTCACAATAGACTCTAGCATAGATCACTACATTCTTAACAAATGTGTCAAAGTCTTGATATGTAATGTAGTATTGATGATTCACAAAACTATATTTAAAATTATAAATATTATATGTTGTAATATATTTAACATCAATAAACCTTTTAGAAATAAGCTTTTTATATGAGACAATGATGTTTTAAATTTTTTGTCAAGAATATGGTATTAGACAAAGATTCAAATTGTTAGTACAACCATGGAATATTCCTATCAATTGCATGATATTAGAAAATTATATCTAACAATAAATTTTAGATTGAGGCAAATCAATAAATGAAAGAGAGATGACAATACATATTTTGCACAATATATTGTGTTGTGTATAGTAAGGGAGTAAACTCATGTATGTTGATAAAGACAAATTTGTAATTTGTATTCCAAATAAAATTATGATATAGAAAAAACGAGCAATTTCATTAAAAGGATACATAAGAACATTGGTAACTATTTAAATATTTCAAAATACATTATAAATCACTTAATTTTACACACAATTAATTCTAATGTTGATGAATTAAATCTTTATATTTTATTAAAATTTAAGTTAAAAAAATTTAAAAAAGAAATTAAAAAAGAATAGTTTTTTTTTATAGAAAATAAAAATAAACCATTACATATATTTAATATATTTTTAAAAATTTCTAAATGTAAATTAAATATACGTTCATTTTTTAATACTAAAAGTTAGAGCATATCAAGAAGTATTGCAATTATGACAACTAAAATAATATCTTACTATAAATTAGTTGTATTGCATATTATTTATATTAAAATAATCACTAGATTACAAAACAATGTGACATTTTTTTTTTTCACAAGAGCAAACATAAAACCTATTAAAAATGCAATAGAAGTGGGTCTTTAAAGCTTTAGAAATTTATGGTTGCAAACAAATTACAAGGCTAGTCAATTGTAATTCCATAAATTTATCTACTACAACTTGTTTTTTTTCTATGGTTATTTATGTGTTGCCATATGACACTTACAATCTAAAATGCATGGTGTTATTCTTTCTAAAGACAAAGAAAAACAAATACCAATCTAATTGATATATTATATAACTAATTTTTTGGTCAGTTGCAAATTTAAACATATGTAGTTTACCTAGTATTTATTATATTTTATTTTAAAAGTTACAAGATAATACATATTTTACTTTTAAATTTTTGTGAAAATAGAAAAATTACAGCATTATGTTTTTACTGTAAATTTATAAATTGACATAAAAAATGATATTTTTATATATTACTTATGATACTTAGATGTCTAGCATTACTTCAATAATCATATTCTATCTAAATCAATTCAATATATTTTTTCAAATTTTTTCAATATAAATTAAAAAAATTTGGCATAAATAATATGTTGATTATTCTTATTGTGTAATAGTTAATTTTTTATTCTTTACATATCTTGTTTATGTGCCAAGGCAAGAAATTAAATTAAAAGTACCAATACAAGTACAACACATCTTAAGCCATGTTACATTAACTTTATGAATGATTTTAATTTTTTTTATTGGTGTGGTCATATTTCCACAACAAAAAATGATTGATTTTTGCATGTTCTTTTGAAGAGTGACATTAAATTCTTTGTTGCATTTTAGTTTTTAACTCCGTCACTAGCAGATTCTTTTTGATTTTACTCTTTTATGTAACTCCTTGATATTTACACTTGTATATGTAATTTGCTACATACAAAATTCTACAATTTTATTTTATTAAATTTCTTTTATGGAACACTAAATAAATAAGTAAAATTTAAGTGCATCAAGAAATGATAATTTTATTTATTAGGATTTTGAATTTTTAATAACTTTTTATAATTATTAGTATTTTAGAATTGAGCATCATTGATCAAATTAAATTATAAACCTATCTTGCATACATAGATTTGGAGTTTTTTTAACATATGCATTTAGTTGCAGAAGCCATTATTAGATCATTATCAAAAGTCCACAACTTGATTTAACTTTATACAACAAAATAAAAAATAGAAGTTAGGACATATTTTTATTTTTCTAATTTTTTTAATAAATTTAAAAAGAATATAATTTTTGGATATTATTCATAAAAAAGCATTTTACTAAAATCATATTTTAAATGTCTACAAAAATCGGGGAATATGAGCTTGGGTGCATTGGGAGAGAGAAGGACAATTCCGAATCGGAAACAGTCATCCTCTCCAATCTAGGGTTTATGATTCGACACCTGTGCTCGCTGGCGATGGAGCTTTTTGGTTTGGTGGTCGTGCCAGTTGCTGTTTCCAGCGCGATCTATATTCTATTGCGCAGTGCATTTCGTGCAATCCTAGTGCTTTCCTTGCTGCTGACGGCGACTCTCTGTTGCATTTCCTCATGCATGCTCCAGCGAATGGAAGAACATGAAATAGCTTTCACGTTTCAACTCTTCGGAGTGTTGGATTGCTGAACGAGGGACGCTGGTTGGCGCGATCTTGTTCTCCCTCGACGGCTTGAAGCATTTCCACCTAATTACGAAGATTTAGCACCCGTTGTTGGTTCGTGACGATTTAGAGCTCTTTGGCGGAAGCGAAGAGGTGATTATCAATGCACGATTCTTATTCCAGTGGGATTTTCGAATTGTAATTGAATAGAGTTGTGCTGGAATACATGTTTGTGGCTGAAACTCTGTTTGGATTATGTGGATACATTTCAGTTGAACATGCTGTTAGAAATGTGCTGCAGTTCGAGGGCATTTTGTCAAACTGTCGGTCTCTTCTTGCGAGTTGTATATTGTCTGCAAAAGGGAGCGCATGAAGTTCAAGTGTGGTAGATAGCCTGCTCCTTGTATTGTACATAGGTCTGTGTTACCACTGAAAACCTTCGGTTTCTTTCGGTACTGGTACATGTTGCGTTGACAAATTTGGTAATGTTCCGTAAGTAATTTTGTTGCCATTTGGATTTTTGAATATTATTTTCACACATTCACACACGCGTATGTTTGTTTGTTTATTTGTGTGTGTGTGTGTTTGTGTATGTTTATACATATAGATATACATGTTTATATTCCAGGTTTAGGATGTTCTTGAACTCGGACATTTCATTTGTAGTATGCCTACAGTACGTCCCTTGTTCCTGCTTAGATACCGATTGGCATGCTCGGTGCAATAAGCCGAAGAGTTGATTAGAAGTGCATTATCCAATTTATAGGTTTTGGTTTTACATCGCTTAAGGAAATTGATGAATTGTTTGGTCCAGTGTGTGTGGACTTCAAGTTCATGAGATGACAGGTTAATTCGCTTAATGTTTTTGAACCAAGCGCTGGTGTACCGATTTTACTGCTCTTGGGAACATAGACTTATTTGACATCGATTCGGACTTGTTGATTTTTCACGTTGGTTTTATATTCATTGTTGCAAAATTCATTGGGTTTTTGGGAAATTATGTAATAGTTTTATGATATCACTTACAACGTATATCGTCTTCAAATTACAATTTGGCTTCATGAGTTGGCATCTGTAGCCATTATGATGACTTGATTGTTTTACTTTCTACTTCTTCTATCTCATCTTTCATACATGCATAAATTTGCTCAATTTTTCGACTGGAGCTCAGCATCTTTTCTTTATGAGTAACTTAGTTTGCGCACTGTGTATGTATTGTCAAATTTATTATTTGCTAAGCGGAATCGTTGTTTTGTTCAGCTATGGTGGAAGATGACTCCTCGTCATCGTCTTCAGGCTCGGATTCTGGAGATGATGAGAGCTCAGATGAGGAAGTGAACGTTGACGAAGACAATAACGATCAAGCGGGTAGTGGTAATGACAGTGAAGATGGGGAGGACGACGAAGAGGATGATGAAGACCCTGATTTGTTTGGGAAAAATAATGAAGATTACATGAAGACCACAGCTGTTAGTGCCTTACGCCCTCCAACGTTACCGGCAAGCTCATTTCCTCGCAAACAAGATTTTCGAGATGCTGGTGGCCGGAGGGGGCCTCCAGAAAGAGGGGGGCCTGGGGGTCGTGGGATGCGAGGAGTAGGAGGGGGAGGCGGCGGGGGAATGGGAGGGGATGGGTCTGGATCTCTACTTCCTTGGAACCAATTTTCGACTTTCGGGGGACCTTCAGGCAGGGGTGGAAGACCCTGTAAGTCTTCTCTTATTTTCCAAACTAGTCACGTCGGAACCTACAAACTGTAGGAACAACGCTTAGACATTACCTGCGTTTGTGGGCCAAATGTTGCACCGAGTCGGCCTCTGTATTTAGTCGAGGAAGGCGGTTGATTTGCACGCCTAGTTGCTTGAAGTGATACTTTTCCTAAAAAATGAAAACACAATAAGGAAGAAGCTGAAATTTAAGGATTATTCTTAGCTATTGTTTGGATGCGTACCGAATGTCTTGATATGAAGATAGTATCGAGTAGATACAGGTTGCGCAACGAATTGCTGTCCTCCTCTGAACAATGTTGCTGTTCAGGCAGCAGCACTCCAAACACTGAACTGAGACATTCTTGGTTATGGTTAGTTTTACTTATTTTACATGGATGTGGCTTAATGAACAGCTGAAGCTCTTGTAGCTGATATGAAGCTTGGGGCAACGGGTCACAACAACGACATGTATCGTGTAAAGTGTCCTCCATTTCAGGAGCCTTCGCATATTGCAGGCTTCAGCAGGAGCGCAGATGGGAGCGTGCAGTTTGATGAGAGCTGTCTCCGCAGGTTAGTATGGAGAAAATAATTTGGCTTCTCAAACCTTAAATTTGATCATTTATTTATTTTAATTAACTGTTAAAACCATTGGCATTCCTTAAATTGGATGATAGAAATAAGTTAGGATTACTGACTATAGCTGTAGCAACGTGACTTAGCACAATGAAAGATATTCTTGCATTTGAAGCGACATCAATGACAAAACTATCTCTAGTTGGACCTTCACTCAATCACTGACAATTCTGCAGAGGGAAGAGTTTTTCATGTCCTTACATGTTAACTTACATACATCTATCGCTTTTCATTTCGCCCCCTGGTACCTTCAAGATTTTCAAATATATTTTCAGAAAATCGTTTATCTCTTCATTTTAGTAGATTTGTTTTTTGGTTTACCCTTATAACTGTAGAAGTTTTCTAATATAAGTGCTTGCACGCTTCTTGACGTCTTCCTTCTTTATTCTCTTTGTAATTAACTTCTCTGCTCATTTGTATTGGACTTGCACTACAGGTTTCGTCGAGAAATACTTCAGGAATCTGGTCTAGATTTGAATGAAGGTTTTGATACTTATGTTGAGAAGAAAGAGGATGGTGCTGGAAGTGGATTTGGTGATCTATTAGCTTGTCTACGAGACAAGCAGGTTCCACTTGATAACATTCACTTCGTCACATACCGCAACAATTTGAACAAAATCCTTGGTACAGCATACAATAGACAAGACGTTTGGGAGATGGGAGTTCACAAACGGCAGGGCACAGTATACCTGGACGTTCATAAGCTGCCTGAGGCTCCTCATCTTGATGTAACAATGCAAAAGCGGCGGAGCTATTGGGGTTATTCTTTTGAAAGATTTGCTACTGAGGCTCCCTCATCGCGCCAAGTCAATGGAACTGCAAGAAAGCCAAAGAATGCTGTAAACGCAAATGTGGAATTTTGTGCAATAGTGAAGACAAAACTTGGTCCACATAGGATTATAATGGGAGCGGAAATGGATTGTTACGATACAGCCTCTGATGGCAGGAAATATTTTGTTGAACTTAAAACAAGCCGAGCACTAGATGCGAGGACCGTAGATAGATTTGAACGGGACAAGTTGCTTAAGTTCTGGATCCAATCTTTCCTTGCTGGAGTGCAGCGCATTCTTGTTGGATATCGGTAAGTTAACTTTGTCCTCTTGTTAGACACCAACAGAGACATGCCTTTCACATACGTGTGTGTGGATTGCGATGAAAAGAAAAATGACTTTTTCCTTGAAAATGTTTGTAGTCTTGGACGGTGGTATGGTTCTGGTTCGGAAGTGAAAGCCAACCGAAGTGCTAGTTGCCTTTCTCTGACTGTTGTTTAGGCCGAGAAGATGTTTCTGGATCACTTGGGTTGTGCGACCTTTTTCAATCAGTTTCTGATCTCAAGGACTGCATTAATTGAACAGGGATGATGCTGGTCGGCTTCTCGGCACGGAAATGATGAGGCCACAAGATATTACTCATCGTGTGAAGCAAAAGCATCACTGGGAAGGTGGGGTTTGTCTCGCGTTCGCTGATCAGGTACTTTGCTGGCTCTATGGGAGTGTCAAAGAAGGTGAAGATTATACTCTTCGATTTAACCGTCATGCCAACAGGTTGGAACTTGTCAAAGCAAACTCCTGTCCGGACACAATTTCTTCACACATGGATCTTCTCGCTGGAACTGCAACCCGGTAATATTCTTGATGATACGATTTCCTAATGAGGTGTACGCTCTCAAGAGGATGGATCAGAGAGAATGTCCGACATTATGAAGTTTTGGTGTCGACTACATCTCTTTCTGTTCTGACTGCCTTGCCGTTCAATAGGGTAAGTGCAGTCTCTGTTCCGAAAGTATTGAAAATGGTTAGTGTACTTGCCACTAGTTGTCAATGTAATGCATGCAATAACGTCATTCGGCAGCGGATTAGTTATTGTGATAAAACCAATATAATTTTTGAGAATTTTTAAGAGCCGTATATGCTCTGTAGTTGAGTCATCCTTTCGATAACCTCATAGCTAAAGGACTGAGGTAGATGTGGTACTATGTGAATCAAAGAGGTGTGAGGTCGCAATCTCGTTCGTTTTGACATCAAACTCCTTATTATTCTCAGTAGCATATTCGATCTGATTGCTTCCAAGATAGCTTTGGCATGAGCTCTTTTAGTATTTTGGGGCAGCATAAGTAAGCTGGAACTACTTTGCAGTAGTTTAGTGCAAAGTGGGTTGCGGTTTTAATTGTACAACTCATGTGTCTTGTTACTTACATAATGTATTGTTCATTAGGCGGGAATGATGTGATTGTATCTTGAGAATTCAGTATTTTACGTTAGGTGTTCTTTTAGAGTCTGCAAAGGGGCTCTTTAAAAATGAGATAATATGTCTGAGTTAATCAAATATCTTAGTAGATGTGGGTTTTACGGTTAGTGCATTTCTATGTTATGTTTACATTCCCTGATTCACTTGCAAATTTGTTAGTATAAAATGTGTTCCAGTATGAAATTTTAATCACTTTGGTATCAGTATTTTCTTCTATATACATAAATACAATGTTTAAGCCTAAATCCTAATGTGCCACAGAATGCATTATGTACTGGAATATGGTACAAATTTAGATTCCCAATTCAGTCGTGCTGAAATGTTCAGACAAATACATATTGTAAGATCTCAACAAATTATCGGAAGTGCACATAATTTCAACATGCACATAAATCTGCATGAGTTTGAAAGTGATATAGTTTTCACTTTTCTGGTCTCTAAATGCTTTTTAAAGTTGATATCAGATGTCATGAATAGCACAAAATGTTTAGTTTTAAATTGTGTTTTCATGTTGATTCTTTATTTTGATTTGTGTATAATGTATTGTAATCTCACATCTATATCAGAGCACTATTTGAAATTAAAATGCCAACAAAACAATTATTTACATCTAAAGTTTACTTTATACCTGAATAGAACAATACATTTCTTGCATGGGCTTTTACAATCTATTTGGATGATATAATTAACATTCATTTGAGCATTTATTTGATTATTTAGAGATAAGAAACTGAAAGGATATAATACATAAACATCTCATTAAATTTTTTATGTTTCTCAAATCAGCACTTATACAAGCAAATTTTATTGAATTACATTTTGATGCAAACATGGAATTATTTATAATCTATTAAATAATATATCTATACTAAGTCAATAATATTACTTTTTCTTTTTTCCTTTTTCTTTTTTATGTTTTAATAACAAATTTTTGACAATTATTTTGAAGTAAATGTAAAGTGTTAACATAAAAAAAAGTACTTAAATATATGTGTATAAATATATATATATATATATATATAGACATGCGATTTGTTTATCTAGAGAATTTCATAGATTCATTTTTGAGATTATTTTCAACCTTGAGGCATTACACACAATTTCTATTTTTTTCCAACTTCAATAAAAAGAAAAAAGAAATAAAGAAGCTTAATATATGCATTCTGAACAAGTGATACTTTTTAAAGGTCGAAGCAATAGTAAATATAACAAGAAGACAGAAGCTCATGAACTCTTTCAAAAAACTTTGCCACCATCTTCCATATGTTCAAATACCTTTAACACTCACAAAACTTGACCTCAAAGGCAACGTCACAGTCAAACTTATACAAATTAGAGTAATATTGTGGCAGAGGGTATTTGACGATTGTGCACATGTAAACTCTGTCATCTAATACCAAAGAAAGACTGAACTATCCAACGCATGAATAATTTGTTGGCCTACCACTAGTGAATACAATAGAATGAAAAAAGAGAAAAGAAATGTATTAAAGTAAATTAATAAATAAATAAACAATACACAAAAGTCTAATTAAGAAGTGCATATGCAAATGATAAACAAAAAATTTAGCAATGTAATGATTGTCTATCTAATCTACAAATGCTTATTTTTATTTTGTATTTTTTTTTTGATGCAAATAATAAAAATTGGTTATTGCCACTTAAGCACATGAATGCATGTAAATGTCACAATTTTTTTTTTTTTTTTTTTTTGTCTTTTTCTTTTTCTATAATGGTTAAGGTGGGTGGGTTGATTTAGTAAAAACCTGGGTTTATTTAACATTATCCTGTATAATAATAATAATAATAATAGAATGATAAAGATAAAAAGAAAAAGAGAGAAGTGACAAGCTTTCACAGTCTTGATGAGGATGTGCCACTGGAGCCAAAATGGTCTCTTCCTTGGCACTATCAGCCAACGAATGAAATGCTTCGAGGATGAATCTCGTCGATGAATGTGAGGCACCAGTACATGGATGAAAGGTTAGATGGATGAACGCATGGTTGTGGGTGCCTGGATGAATAAGTGGATGGATGGATGTGTGGGTTGGTGGGTGGGGAGAGGGAGACCGCAGCTGCATCTTTGATGTGGCAGCGAAAACAGTGTGTGTGTGTGTGTGTGTTCTGGAAGAGAGTCCGGTCCTTGCCTCATGATGCTTGCTTGCTTGCTTGCTTGCTTGCCTCAGAACCCACCACGGGAAAAGGGCAATACCAGCACAGATCAATGTTCCTATGGTAGTGCAATCTAGAGGGTATAGCTGGGGAATCGGAATCCGTGCAGAGATTAGGTGTTATTTGAGGAAAAAGGAGTTTGTTGCGGTGCTGGCAGGGTGAGAGACGAGGTCTCGTGGCAGGGTGAGAGAGCTTGCGCCTGTGAGAACGACCCAAAGTTTACAATAAGATTCAATGCAGCATTCATGTCAGTGGTGGGAGTCATAACTATGATGCCGGTACATTCAATTCCGCACTAGACTTTTTTTGCATCCTGTGATTGTTTTTCTCTTCGTTTTATTCCTCGCAAACAGAGCACTCACCCCATGTATCATCACCCTGCTATGCAATGCATACGCACACACTCTCTCACTCTGTGCAGGCTTTCAGTTTAAAAAAAGAATAAAACTGGAAACCCTCACAAGATGAGATAGCGATGTCGGAAAGAGGTGGTGAGCTTCCTTCCCCAGCACCGAAAATCTCACCAGGAGAGGAAATGCAAGCGTATCCCCGAGGACGAGAGTAAACTCCTGACAAAGACTGGCTGGGTTGGCAGAGATCGTGGGATGTGGCGGTCGCCGTTTGGACCATCGCCCTCGGGCTATCCCCCGACGGATTTTTCCCCAGTCACCGTCCAAAGAGGCTGTGGCTTCAGGGTCGCTTTCCTTCATGGCGACCGCTGGAAAACGCTCACCACTTCCTCTATTGCAAACCCCAAAATATTTTCTAAGCATGAAAATTAAGAATTAAAAAAAAAAGAAAAAACAGCACCCCGGGCATCGCCCATTCGTCAGGAGCGAGGGGAGAGGAAAATCTGCCAGACTGCGCAAAAGGAGCCGGTGCAAGGGGACTGGAAAATCCGCGTCGCAAGCACCCAGGGTCAGCATGACGCGTCCTAGAGCGTCGGCAATTGCACGAGAGAGTTGTCCAGAGTATGGAGTGAGTGATTAAAAACCGAGCGAGTGATTAAAAACCGAGCGAGCGAGAGAGTTTTCGAGTATTGTGTGCTGTGCGTGCTCAGACTCTTCGAAAGTGCCAAACGCTCGATCCGCTTTCACGCCACAAAAGAAAAAGAAAAAAAGAGAACAATATTTTAGGGTTTCGAGCTCCTGGGGAAGCAGCCCCATTCTCGGCTCTGACATACACACACCTAGAAAGGAAAGGATGAATGTACATATATGGATGAAGTTAAGATTTTCGGGGTAAGCGCCAGTCAGTGTGTCCACTACCAACTGGACTCTTTTGTTTGTTTGTTTGTTTTTTTGTTATCGTTTTTGTTTTTCATTATGGACAATGTCTATTCTTAGCATCAACCTAACTCCTATTCACTGCCCTTCTACCTTCACTCAGTGACTGTTGCTTCTAAGGATTGTCTCACTGACCGCATCCCACTTCTGCACTAACAAAAGCATGACGAAAAAAGCTTGGAAAGGGAAACAGGAACCGTTCCATCTTTCCATGTGGAAAAATCTTCACAATTTTTTTTTATTAGGGATGGATGTTCAGTGGTTGCATGGGGTTGTATTGGAAAAATCATTTGAGAAAATGAAAAATGAAAAAGAAAAAGAAAAAGGCATCTTTCCGGCCTGAATTATAAATGCACCCGTCTCAAAATTTGCAAACTGGGAATTAGTAAATACAAGTCTTTTCGTTGAAAGAAAAGTTCCTCCGGTGGCACTTTCTCAATAGGTTGGGTAACAGTCCAAAAGAATCTTTCTAATTTTTATATATTTTTTCATTTTTATTTTTATTTTTTCCTTTGCAAGTCTTACACGTGATACTCTGCTCCTCCAGCAGATACATTCATCCATCCATCTACCTAACTATATATTTGAGAACCAGTCCCTGGATGTGTTTCCACGGCATCTCTCCTGGCATTTTGGCTCATAGTTTTTATCCTTTTTGCCCGACCCCTACTTTTTTCTTTCTTTTTCCTTTTATCATTTCCTTTTTGGTACTTTATCCTACTTTTGTATTAATACCTGGTACACAGTACAGTTTCCACTCCACAGGGGGCCAGCTTTAAGGGGGACTTTTGGACATTCCCTCTGATGGACAATACCACACCTTATAATGGGGCCATACATACAATCTATAACTTTCCTGTTTTGTGCATATATATATATATATATATATATATTTTGAGAAATAATGTACCAATGATCATCTGAGTTCTTTATTGTGTGTGTGTGTGTGTGTGAGTGAGAAAAAAATAATAAAAAAACCAAAAAAAGTCTTACATTTTTCATAATTTTTTAATACATTTGATCGGGATTGTTTGATTTAAAAATATGACTGATATTGCACTAAGTTATCACATTTTTGAAATATAAATTTTGATTTTGATGCATTCTGAGGAAAGAGATTCATGTGAATAAAATGTTGTATTTTCAAATTCAAAAAATTATTACTAAGATTTGCAATAGTCTGTTGTCGGAATCCTGATTTTCTTTTTTTCCCTTTTAATTTTTTTTTGCATAGATTGCTATGCTGACATTTTGTGATGTATTTCTTTTTATTTTTTTCATCAATTTTTTTATATATACACCCATTTATAGTGTCAAATTGTGGTCTTTGTTATATATTTTATAAAAAAATATTTATTATTCAAATATTTTGATGTATTATATATATATATATATATATATATATTTTCTGAATATTAAAGAGTAATTTTCATAAAAGTGTTATAATTATTACTAATATTAGATATATCTACACAAATAAATATTATAGCTATACTTTGTACTTTGTTAAAGTTAA